TTACCATGTGCTAAGGCATAGGCAAGTGGCAGAAGTCTGAAGTCACCTTCCAAGTGATTGTTCCAGGGAGGTTGGTTTCCATCTTAGGAAGAGGACTTGGTGTTGGATGACTGGGAAGTTTTTCTACAAACAGCAATGCCTGAAAAATGCCTTCTAATGAAAGGGTAAATCATATAAAAGCAGATGGGCCTATCCCCAAAGTGGTGGTATATGTATTGTGAGCTATCCTTTCAATCTGCCCAGGGAGATCTGCTTGGGGAACTTTTCCTAACTGAATACCCTGAGTTAATGCTATTTTAATGACTGCACGTTATATGGTCCCTGTCCCAAAGCATTTTATTTTTTACTTCTGTAAAGCAAGTTAAAACGGGACGGCTCATCCTGAGGTTTAGGGCCCTGCACTAAGACTTGTGACTTTGGGCAAGACACTGAATCTCTATACCTCCATTCCCCTTTGAAATGAGGATTGCCTTACCTGTGACTGCTGTGAGAACCAGTTCATTAACATTAGTGTGGTGCTCGGATATTATCGTGAGGACGGGCCATAGACCCATGGTGACAGTGAAATTCAGATCAAACGGTTGAATCTAGCAAAATCTCGGTTGTAGGGGTGGGAGAGATGTCCAGATGGCTTTTTTTGGCTCAGCCTGTTATAAACCTGCCCATGGGTTTGGAGAGAGTAACACCTGCCCCTCACACACACTCCCCATTAAACTTCAGTTTGCGCTCAAGCACTTCTGCATTGAGGACTAGGTGAGGTTGGTTTTTTAAATATCCTTAGTATAGTCTCATTTGTAGAAAAGATTAGTTCCTCCTTCTACTTTTCTGCGACCTCTCTGTGCTCTGGATGACCAGTCTTGTTAGAAGAACAGAAAACACAGAAGCCTCGGTATCCCCTGTCCCCTCTCTTTTGGGAGCAGCTGTCGGAACTCAACATTACTCTACAATGGATGTTCGTAAGTGGGGGTAAGTGCTTTCCCTCACTGAGTATAGACCGTCATGGGGAGATGTTCACCTCCATTTCATGTGGTATGCTGACATCTGCTGGATGTTGAGGCTCTGTCCTATAAAACCACTTGACTTTTTATTTTTAAATGCATTGAAAATAATAACCTGGCTGAGATCTATTTTAGCCTGAAGGTCCTTGAGACAGTATGGAATTGAGATTTAAAGAGCACTTCATGTAATACCTCTATGCAGGGGAGTTTCTTAAGCTAGAACCTGGCTGACTCCTTGCATGTGCAGTAGAGCCAGAATGTTTGGCTTGCATTAATTTCCTAATACTCCATGTGAGTGAGGCTGGAATCTGTGCATCTTTCATTCAGTGTTGAAACTATTGGGTTCTAGTCTTGGGGAAAACGGAAGCCCCTTTCCTAGTGGTATTTATGGCCCTAGCTCTGTTAATCCATGTGTACGCAGAATAACAGTTCCCTGCCTTGGGCCTGGGTTGAGCGATGTAAAAACACTCATTCTGTCACAACTCCTCAGCCTTGCTCTTACCTAATAACCCAAAGGGACAATGACTCATGAAGACTGTCCTAAGGTTAAAATGACTACAAGTGGGATTGGAGCCAGAAAAATAGCTGGAATGTGTGTGAAAATATTTTTCCCATCGCACTACTAAATGCATCATTTTCACTGTCCAAGAGAATGGCCCTGCTGGAAGAAACTGAACTACACTATCCAGCCTTGTGTGGGAAGGGCCTGAGCCAAAGCTCATGGAAGTCAATAATAAAACTTTAATTGACTTCAAGTGGTATAGGATCAGGCCTTTACCCTTGGAGGATTCCCATCCAGGGGAAAAACCGTCATGCTGGAGAAAGTTGTGCTGGGGTACAAGCACAGGAACACTACCACTGACTGAGGTTTGGGAGCGCTGTCCTAAAAACAGGTGCCAAGTTATAGCTGGTTCAGAACAATAGGGTAACAGTCCTCACAGTGCCTGGGGGGAGGCCATGGCTTCTCGCGTAAGAGTAACCGATTAACATCACTGTCCTGGCCAAATTGTAATTTTGGTGATTTCAATCTGTTTACCTAAACTAATATCCTTTGCTTTCAAATGGTTATAGTTACAGCATTTACTTCCTGTCCTAAATTGATCTGCACTGCTAGACAGCTGCTGTGTTCCAGTGCAGAGCTGCCTATACTGCAGCAGTGATGAAGTGATATTTTTTACTAGTGTAGAAAATACTTTGAGACAAAATACACAGGTTTGAAGGATGGCTACTGATGTGATGCTGTGAATCCTACATGCGTGGCATAATGGAGAAACTCTCAAAGCACATTTTCTGAAAATACAGTATATTCGTCACTCGGCACAAAATTACTGTGGGACTCATTACTACAGGATCTCATAAGGCCAAGAGCTCAGCAACATTCAGAAAAGGACTGGGCATTTATGTGGTACAGGGGCATAGTTACAATATTAAACAACAAGATGTTTAAAGAACATATAAACACTTTGAATTTTGGGGTATCAGCTAGCCTCTTGAGGACTAGGAGGAAACTTTCCCTGAGGAAGAGCCCTACAGTAAGGCGTTAGGGGTTATTTCCTGTGATGTAGCTGGTACTGGCCCCCGTTGGAGACAGTATGTTGGCCTAGATCGGGGATTCTCAACCTTTTTCTTTCTGACACCCCACCACCACCACCATAAAAAGTCCACGGTCCACATGTGCCACAGTAACTGGTTTTCTATGTATAAAAGGCAGGGCTGGAGTTAAGGGGCAGCACCCAGGGCAACTGCCTGGGTCCCCATGCCCCAGAGGCCCCCATGAAGCTACATTGCTCAGGCTTTGGCTTCAGTTTTCTACCCTGGGCCCTAGCAAGTCTAATGCTGGCCGTGCTTGGTGGCCCCACAGGGGGCCTCGGACCACAGTTGCTGACTTTCACAATAAGCCAAAAATCAAGCTACTCCTATTTCAAAAAAAGGCCAAAACAAGCTAATCCCTAAGAACCCCATCACTCTGTGACTAGATTCCCCCTGGTGTGCAATCTCAGACTGTGGTGAGCCCGCTGTGCACACCACCTCTCCCCCTCACTTGCCCATCCCACCTCCCCCCCGGCCCCTGCTTCCCAGGAGCCGATTTAAAAAAAAAAAAAAAAAAGCTACAAGCCAAAAACTAGCCAACAAGCAACTCACAAGCCAATTAAGCCAAAAACAAGCTCAAGTTTTGAGTTTTTACCCCCACAGGTTTGGCATGTCAGCCCTGGACCCCTAGTTGAGAACCACTAGCCTAGCTGAACTGCTGGTCTGACCCAGTCTGTCAATTCCTATTTTAAACAAGGTTTTCATTAATTGGATTTACATTTGCAGAGTTTCTACTCTGCTGCACCTGAGAAACATGCACCAACCTTTGACTTTGATCAAATTAGCTGAGGGTGAGTTGTATGATTACCCACCCCCTCCCCACCCTTAGTTTTTAAAACAGCACACTTTAAGGAGGAAGGGATGGTCTAGTGGTTAATGCACTGACTGGGAGGCAGGAGACTGGGATTTAATTTCCAGCTCTGCCACTGGCTCTCTGTGACCTTGGGGTAGTCACTAACTTCATCTCTCTTTCCCTCTGTTGCCAGTCTTACGCTCATATTTTGTATCCCTTTCTCCCACCTTCTGTCTCTTGTCTTATTAGAGTATAAACTCTTTGAGGCAGAGGCTTTCTAATTGTGTTTGTGTAGTGCCTAGCACAATGGGGTTGGGCTCAGTAAATTCTACTGCAATGGAAAATAATCAAAAAAAAATTAAACATACGGTTTTGCTTGTGTATGAATAACCCTAGCTTATTGACACACCAAGTATTTCTAAAATGAGTGAAAAATAAAATACCTTATACTCTGTTTACTTGCATTTCCCTCAATGTGGGTAATAAGCTGCTGCAGTCACGATAGTCAGGTTCCCAGTGCTGCACCGTCAGGGTTGCAAATGAGCCAGGATTGTGTTTTACTGAGTAATAACTAGCTTCCATTAATTTTTGGGGGGGGGGGGAGGCGGGGAATCAGCAGACCAGATTTCTGTTGGTCTTTGATTGTGTGAATTTGTCACAGAAACTGAACGTTGAACCACCTATGAATTTATTGTGGCCTTTTTAAGGCTAGTTCCTTGACTTTTGTTTTTGCAAGCTCACACCAAGCCCTCTGGGCCGTTCAGGAGGCAGTTCGTATTCAGGAGCCGGTAGAGAGGAGCAGTTCAGGTCTGTGGGTAAAGGCTGGCATGCTCAGCAATTTCAGGCTAAGGTCACCCTCCATAACAGCCTGCTGTGCTGTCCTTAAAATGAGGAGAGGCTGACGAGTTTTACCGAAGGGTGGCCCTGCAGCTAAACCAGCTAGGGCCCTGCTTCCTGCAGCCCCAGCTAGCCCACGCCCCTCGGTGCTGGCAATGGCTTGAAGTGGTTTCCATCATCGACAGGGTTTACAGTTCGGTTTAATGGCTCTCAGTACCCCCCCCCCCATTGTACAGATTGCTCCAGCACCCCTGCCCACTCCTCCAGAGCCTCTCCACCGCCTACCCAACGCCCTTTCTGCCCTCCAGCTGCCATGGCCCATTCTTCCCAGCTCAGCAGCCAGGCTGCGCCCCCCCCCCCCCCCACCAGCCAGCCCATTCCCCGGATTAACTCCCTCCCTACCCATGTGTTTCTGGAGGCAGGCAGAGGCAAAGGCCCACTGCAACCCAGTAGCCCTAGCCTTTCAAATCCGGCCAGGAGTGGGGCCAGGCCAGAATCCAGCCCTTCTCCCTGCCTTTCAGAGCCGCTTCAATTCAGCCTTGGATTGGGGTGGGGGGGGGGACTACTTCCCCAGGCGCAATGAGCCACAGAACGTCTAGGGGGCGCTGCGTCCCTGCCTAGCAACTCCAGACGCTACAATGTAACTATCAGAACCCGCTGATGTAAACAAAGGCACATGGGCAGCCGCTGTGGCCAATCCGACGGTGGGGCGGTGTGTTCGGTAACCAATGGAAGGGCGAAAGGGGCGGGTTCGAGACCGAGGGTTTGGTGTGTGCCAGTGGAGATGGGTCTGCCGGGCTGCCAGCAGCCTGAGCTCTGCTTCTGTCCATAGTCAGGCATGGCAGCGGCAAGCGTCTGAGACAGGGGCATTAGCCCAGGAGGGGGCGGGGGGCAAGAGCATCAGGCCTAGAGAGGTCGAGGGAAATTTAAGTCAATAAATAAATAACTTTAAAAAGGCCGGGGGGGGGGGTCCCTGGAAGGAAAATTCCCCCCGGGAAATTGCTATTCGATGGAGTGTGCAGCTGAGCTGGGCTTGTGGGAAGAAGATCGAGCAGCCTGGATTGATTTTAACTGTTTGCTTAGTAACTCGCAAGGTGAAGAAGAGAAACTTATTTGAGCCCATGGGCTCAAGTCGTTAGATCTATTTGGGGGGGAAAAAACAGCTTTATTTTTGAATGAGAAGGTAACGGCATCAGATACCAGGCAGGAGTTAAAGTCCGGGGGCAATGGCTCTGATCAGCTTGTTGGAATTGGCTGACCTCTCCATAGGGACGCCAGAGATCGGGGTGGTCAATTTTAATGCCCTCCACACTTTGCTCCATGCCATCATTAGACAACTCAACCTGCAGAATGTCAAAACCGAGATGCTTGATGAGAAACCTAAGCCCCCGGAACCTGTGCCTTTGCAGGAGAAAGAGACGAAGGGCCAGTGTGATGCGTCAGAAGACTTCCCCTATGCTGACTTAGAGAAGAAGGTCATTGGGGTGGCTGCTCAGGTGCATGGCATGGAGGCCAAGGTGGTTGGGGTGGCGACTCAGGTGCACGGAGTGGAGGCTCAGGTCCATGGGATAGGGGAACAAGTTCAAGGGCTTGAGAAGCAAATGGCTGCCCTGGAAAAATTGCCTTCTGGGACAGACCTGCTGGAGAGGACCAAGAGCGGCTCTCCGAATGGATCTGCGGTGGCTGACATGTGGCAAATGATGCAGATGAAGAAAAAGATAGAAGCTAATGAGACTGGCATCTCCAAGGTAAATCTTTCCATTCCTTAAGTTGTGAGGAGGCAACATGTCCAGTGGCGAGAACCCAGATCTGAGAATCAGCAAATATATGCTGTAGCCTTGCCTCTGCCACTGACTTGCTGTGCAACTTTGAGCAAGCCACTCACTTTGCCCCTTTGTGCCTCAGTTTCCCCATCTAGAAAATTTGGTTAATATTCACCCTTCTAAAGGGTCCTGAGCCATTTGAAAGAAAAGTAGTAGATAATTGCTCTAAGTTCCTTATATAGCACTCATTACCAGACCTGTGTTCTGTATTAGTGGTTGGTGGTATTATTTTATTTATTTTATAGTTTGATATAAATAATTTCCAATAATAAGCAACGACTCCAAATTTGTGCAAAATGACAGTAAATTAGTGTCTGAAGTGAAGGACATTGAGAGGTTAGAGGACCTATGAAAGAAACTAGGAAATCATGACCTGAAGAAGAGCTCGTGTAACTAGAAAGCTTCTCTTTCACCAACAGATGTTGAGCCCAGAAAAGATATTCCCTCTCCCACCTTGTCTCTCATGTAGAAATCCAGTCATTTTTAAGACTCTCACTGTGTTAGGATTAGAGCTAAACTACAAGAAGGGAAATATTTACTGAATCCCCAAGGCCAGCCTCCAATTATCTTTTACATGTTTCCTCCAGTGTTATTTACGTTGCATGTTGTTATGGGGGTTGTGATCTGTCATGTATTTTCAAGGCTGGATAACAGGGAAAACCATGACCAGGTGTTATGCAGTTCGTATTACAGCTGTGACTTGTTGCATGAATTTTACAAGAGCATCTCTGCACCGATTCCTCTAAGGTTGCAAGAGAAATAAAGTCCTGATTGCTGCTATCCATTTAATTAAAGTGCTGGATGGGGATGATCGGGGGTTGCTCATCTAATGCATGCCATAGTTTTAATAAAGGGTGTATTCTTGTTTTCATTCATCTTATCTTCAGTCTAGGGAATGTAGAGCCCGAGTTCTTCTTTGTGACCTTTCATTGTCCTTTGTCAGCGATCTGTGTAGACCTCCCTTAGACGGTGTTGACAAATGAGCTACTCCTGAACTGGGAGCAGGCCCATCAAGAGAAGTTTGGGGGCCCGGTACATCATGTTTGTTGGGGCTCCACCCCTCCCATTTCTTTATTTACACAGACATTAGTCATTTGCGGGGGGGGGCTGAGTTTGGAGCCCCAGTACAATTGTTCCCTCTCTCCCTCCCTCTTGTCAGCCCTGATTGCCAGTTGCGCTGTATGCTTTAAAGGGGCAGAACGGTTTCATGCACTGAGAGGTGGGATCTCTGTGCTCTGTTTCCAGCTTTGCTACAGTCTTCACATACAGTCTATGTGACCGCTAGCAAATCTTCAAGGACCTGATGCTTTCAAAAGTGCTGAGACCCTGCAGCTCCTCTTCACTTCAGTTGAACTGGGTTCTCAGCACCTCTAAAAATCCAGCCCTTGGCTGAGCCGTGCCTCAGTTTCCCCATCCAGAACTTGTAGGTGATCTCACTTACCTAGTTCACAGGTAGTTGGGGTGCTTAGTTTAATGTAGTGAAATGCTTTGATGTCCTTGGTCACAAGGAAACTATAGACGTGAACAGTGGAAGGGAGGGAGAAAAGCTCCCTGCAAATGGGGGGCAGAGGGACAAGAGGGGGAGTGAGGAGAGGGTACTGACACTTGGCAGGGTAGGGGCAAGCAACTGGCTCTAAGCTGGGAAGGAGGGTCCCAGCCCAGGGGTTCCTACCCGCTCCCTGACTCACTCCAGCCCCGACGGGTCCCACTTCCTGCTTTCCGGCTCCCAGGCCTCATGGCAGCTGCTTCCACAATATTTCCCTGTTCCTGCTCCCCACCTGCACCCCCATTTCTGCCGCCCCTCGTGCAAGTGGCATTTTCTATTCAAGAACTCCAATAGCGTTCAAAGAAATTGGACCCGTGCCTCTCTGAGGGGTCATACCCTGCGGTCAGATCACACACACAGTTTCCGTTGGAGTCGGGGCAGAGGGAAGGGAGGGGTTGCATTGAAATCATGGCAGATGTATTGCCAGATATGCTTTCGCCTGATGAAGTTAGTGCCATGTGATGCTGTAGGTTTTTGGGCGAGGAAGTAATATTTCTCCCCATCTCTGTCCCCTGACTTACCTCTGCCCCTGGATCCTTTCCCCACTCCATGTGCATTAGTGGCAGATCTACTACGGCACAGATACCGCTGGGGGCTGCCTGAGATTGTACAGCTGTTCTGTCTGAGTTACTAGGAATAATGTAAAATGCTGTCGTTTTTACCCTTCCTCTTGTAGGAAAATAGCATCACCTCCAGGATGTCTGCTATCCCCCTTATAGCCTGGGGCTCCCTGAAGGCGGTTTGAGTTCAGATTCTAGCTTTTTTTTCTTCTCCTCCTCTCTGTCAGGATGAGTTGTAGTGTTGCCAAGTTAATTCTTGCCATTCCAAGAGGCGGGAGGCTGGCTAAGGAGCTGAAGTGGTGTGCCGGAGAGACCCACGGTTCTGTTCTAAGACCAAGGATACCAGCATGTTGCACAGGTTCAATAGGGGAAAGTCCTGGGGATTTTCCCCACCAGAAGGGGAGTGTCTGTGCTGCAATCGAAAATCGGGGCAGGGGGAGTAAAAAGAGAGGAGAAAAGTGGCCTCTTATGCGGGCACAAGGAATAACTTGTTCTTCTTAGAGCAGCCTCTGCACATTCCAACTCATGGGATGCCCTGGCAGTGCAGCCTGGACCAATCAATATGATGTGACCATAGAAAGGACAAAGGTGTCATGGAACAGGGAGGTGTAATATTCCCCCCCCTAGGCAGCAGTAGCACAACTGAGATACTAGGGTCAGCTTTGGGTTCCTTAGTTCCAGAAGGACAGTTACAAACTAGGGGGAATTGGGAGAACAAAAAACCGACCCGTGGCCTGGAGGAGCTGACTCAGAAGGAAGATGTATAGAGCTAAATGTGTAGGGTTGGCCGAGTGATAATTAAATGTATGTGGAGCGGTGATGAAGGGGAGGTAATATTCAAATGGGGGAGGGCAATTGGGGGCATTGGGCCTGTTTTACTTGCTTAGTATGGATAAAGAAGATCTGAAGGGTTGGGGGCGAGGGGAGGGGGTGAAAATGTGAGTTTTTCTGCTTGCCGTCCTCTTAGAAATCTCAAACATGTTTAAGTCTGTGCTTTTGCGAGAGGATTCATTGGAGGTCCTCAGTGTGGATTATGACCTTTCTAAGTCCTTCATCGAAGGGTTTAAGGGTTTGACTCTTTAGCAGAGACCTCTTGTTCTCCCAGGTAGTTCTCATGCATCGGAGTTAAACAGATATTAACAAAAGATGGACAAAGGTACTGTGTGCCCTCATTTCCCACAGCTTTCAGCGTCTCACAGGATCAGGTGCTGGTTATCCTACTGCTTCTGTCTTGCATATTCAGCAGGATACTGACTATGGTAGTTTGGAGGTGCTCTGCCCTTCCAGCTCCCATCACAGTCCAAAATTCATGCAGCATGAGTCAGGGTAGGATTTAGGGTTTGCGGGGAGCTCAACAAGGTGGTTATTGCAGTCCCTACATTCCACACACAACCCCTCGCCCCCCGCGGCCAATCCCTCCTCCTTTTCTCCATTGTGACTGGACAATGGATTTCCCCTTCCTTTCTCCTGTACAGAGTGCTTGGGAGGAGGAGGACCTGGTTGCTAGGTCTCATCCCAGAACAGGTCAACAGGGCTCTCCCTGTTCTGTGCTCAGCTGGTTCTGCCTAGGGACCAGATCGATGCACCTGGATGGTCCTTGGCCTCACAGTTCCATGTTATGCCTAGGACAATTCCACAAAATTGGGACTCTTCCAAGTCCTCCACTGAACTGGGGAGCCCGCTGGGCTGTGGCCTTGGCAGGTCTAAACAAAGCTTTGGCATAGGTGAAGAGGGTGTGACACAATGGGCGGCGGGGGATGTTAATTTCCTAAGTACTGCCTCTTATGCAGAGCTGTGAGCGTTTGCCACACAGAGGGAGCTCCTGGTGCGGATAGCATGTCTACAAGGGTAACACATTGTGATAGGTGAACCTCCTTCTCTGTTCCCTGCCGTGCAAAATGAGTACCTCATATTTTATACATCTGTTTGTGTGATCTAAACACAGCAGCCGTTCCCTGATGGAGAAAGTTATGAACATGCTCTGAGGAGGCAACTGGCCCTTGTGCAGTGGGACTAGCCTCGCTTTTGTTGAGGACGTGGGTGATGCGCAGGCCTCGTGTGGCATGGAGAACGCCGCCCCTATTCATTAGCAGTGTTTGCTGATGGAACGGTTGGCTGAAATGGACAGTCTCGGAAGTGGGTAGGGTGACCAGATAGCAAATATGAAAAATCGGGACAGAGTGTGGGGGGTAATAGGCACCTATATAAGAAAAATCCCCAAATGTTGGGACTGTCCCTATAAAATCAGGACATCTGGTCACCCTAGAAGCGGGGACTGTCTGCTCTAGACCAGCATGGGGAGCAGACCTTGTCGTGGAGGCCGGCCAGCGTGTATCTTGCACGTACCCAGCAGAGCCTAGTGAGCCGTGCTTCAGGAGCTAGCTGACTGTCTTTAGGATAGCGATCAAATGTGAAAGGAAAAGCCATGCCCAAAGAATGCCTCCAAAGCAGGAGCAATTGCAGTGGTCGTAGGGAAAGAGTTGAGCCACAAGATTAAAGCAAGTCCCGGCTGAATTATTCATCCCTTCGTGGAGCATAGTGGGAGGGAAATGGAGCTGCTTTGATGAGAGAATGAGCCTTTTCTGCTCCTTCTCAGGGCATTACATCAGCGCCCAGGCTCACGTAGCACAGCTCCTGCAGTCCAATGTGGCAGGCCGTAAATGTTCAATGATTTGCCAGTGCTGCTTCGGGAGGGGTCATGTTAAATAAAAAACCGAAGCATCCCCATTGTGATCTGTGGGAGCTGGGCTCTGGTTTCCAATTCATCTCCTGAACGATCGAATATTTGCGAGAGAGTCGATGTTTCCCGTCAGTTTGAGTACAGCGCCGATATCTTAAGCCATCTAAGTGTAAACCGGGCTTGCCGCTGGTTTGATCCAAGAGTAATATTTCAGCTAGGAAATAAGGGCCCCATTCTGTGAGACACAGAGAGCTGGCAGCTGGCTGCTGAGTGAGCATCCTCAGTGAAGCCAATGAGAATTGTGAATGCTCAGCACCTTGTAGGATGGGGTCTGACCTTTTCTTTTTTTAAATGGTTTTGTGGATTGTGCTGAGTTAATGGAAATAAAACATCAGTGTGAGTGCTGGGTGACAGCACAGAACCCCAAGATAAAAGAAAACAAATTTTCTGGTCAAGAGATTGGAATTTCCAGGTGTTGCGAGGCCAGTTCATAAGCCCCATACAATGGGGTGGAACTCAAGCCCATGCAGCAGACCCAGCTCAAGACCGATGTACAACTTAAGTTTTATTTTGAGAGTTTAAGTGGGACTGCAAAGGATGAATAGCTTTTGTGCTGGCTCTGCCGGGGGTTAATTGGCTACCCACATGGGTAACTGCTCACCACTTTGAGTAAGTGGATCTCCCTTCAGCCCCAGGGAATGTAACTCTCCAGTTGCTCCTGTTGTTTAATCATCTTTTTTTGTCATAGGTGTGTATCTAATACCTGGCCATTTTAATCTTCAGAAGTGCTCAGCATTAATTGGGAGACGGGGGGAGGGGGGCTCTAATAGTTAGAACGTGTGCCTGGACACCTGGGTTCCATTCCTGCTTTTGCTGTTGAGTCATCATGTGACCTTGAGCAAGTCACTTGACCCTCTTGTTGCTTCATTTTGCCCATCTGTAAAATGGAGGATAATATCCTCTGCGCTTGGCAGGGTTGAGATGAGGCTGTTTGTAAATCCCTGGGAGACACCGCACTGAGCAATGCTATGTGGATACACAGTGTTGTTGTAGAACTTTGCTTGTTAATAACAGGGCCAGCGGAGTGGTTGATCCCTGATCAATGTCCTACTAAAGATCTGCACAGCTGAGAGCCTCGGTTAATGGGATTCAAAGGGAACAACCCTCTAACGCTGGAGCTCCAAGGAGAGGCGGGCATCCAGTCCACTGGCAGAGGGAAAGCGGGACAGTGCCAACAACACTGTGGCCTGGGTCATTTATTATCCAGGTCGGAGGTGGTGAGGTGAGGGCAACTCACGTAACTTGGCATATCTTATACCGAGAACAGCTTCCAGCTGTGAGCGGCTTAGCACAGTCTGCTTCTATACTTTGCAACATCCCCAGCAGCTTCCAGCTGATCTCAAAGTGCTTTCCAAACATCATTGCCTCGTGGCTGTAGGTAAATATCACTATCCCCGTTTTACAGATGAAGAAACTGAGGCACGAGGAGATTGTGTGGCCTTTGGCAAGCTGTTTGGTGAGTCAGTGGCATAGCCCAAATCTCCTGTCCCCCTGCTCTAACCATGAGATGGAGCTACTGTAGCAGACGTTGTCTGTTTACCATGAGAGTCCTGGTTTGAGTCTGCTATGGTCAAGTGCACTGTGTGAACAGGCTAAGTCCAGCTAATGAATAGTTAAGCCGTTCACTGGTATTTGGCACCAGCTGTTGAGCACAGCATCAGTGAAGTTTTTGATCCCACTATTTGTATATCAGAGGCAGGTTTTTTGGCAAAAGCTATAGAATAAGGGTATTGTGTGGGCATAACAACAGTGCCAGAGGGAGAAGTGTATAGTACCCAAATCTGGAAGGAGAAGTCTTCAGAGTCCAAGCTAAAATAGGAAGGCAGCAAGCTAATGAACAGTGAATGCTCACACATCACGGTCTCCTGGCATAGACCTCAGGGCATGTCTGCACTTGATCTGTTCACACTCAGTTAGGTACCCAATGCAATGATATTAACCCCCTGTCAAGAAATGTGCTGACGGGGGGGAGTGGGGGGAGAGGGCCAGGCTGGCACTTTCATTTAACCCTTTCGGTTAATCTAGCAGATCCTTGGTCTGCCTGGAGGTGTGAAGCTGCCAGGCTTAATTAATGTATGCATTATAAGCTGTTATTTACTTGGGGAGTAAAAGGAGAAGTTCTGCTGAGCCCCTCCCTGTGTCCAGCTCCCTGTTGGGAAGGATGCTCTGGGTGGAGCTGCTGTGTTCTGTTCTGGAAGCTTATGGCCCCAACTCCTACCTGTTTAAGCTGGCTCCCTGGCAAGCCCCTTTGCCACCATCCACACTCCGTTGGCAGCTGGAGCTCGCCTAACAGGGTCCATCTCCTGGCTCTCTGTCAGATAGGTGGGCATTATTCTCCCTGCTAATTATAAAGCTAAGGAAACTGAGACAATCAGGGGAGTGCCTTGCCACAGGTTACACAGCCAGTCAGTGGCAGAGCCGGGAATGATAGCTCCCTGCCCCTTGTCCGATTTGCTAGACCCCGCTGCCCCTCCGAGCATCCTCACTGTGGCATACTAGGTATTCTTGTGGCCCTAAACTCACTCCCCTCTCTGTTCCAGGCCATGGCTCTGTTCCAGGATCTGCTGAATGAGGTCAACGGCATGAAGATGGCTAATTTCCATATGAACGAGGGCCTCCAAAACATCAAGGAGAAACTTGACTCGGTGAGTGTGGCCCTTGCCCACAGAACAGAGCTGGCCTGGTCACACTCTCTGGTGAGGGGAGTGCCACGCCTTCTCCTTCCACCCCTGAGGCACCGACATCCCCTAGTCCCTCTTGCTGTATGTGCCATGTACTCTCAGCGGGGCTCTCCCTCCTGCCACAAGCAGCACTCAACTCCAAGGGGAGTTAACGCAGTCCCCGTCCCCTTGATTTCTCTTCTCGCTACTCCCCAGGCCTTTATGAGCTAGTATTCCCCACCCCTCCTGTGTTTTGGGGGTAACTCAGAGTACAAACTGCTTGGGCCGGGTCTGTGCCTGGCTTATGTGCAGCAGATCAGCATGCTCTAAGGGAAGTGTCCCATAAGAGCACACTGTTCCCCCTCTGCACATGTAGGGGAGAATGTCTCCTCTCCCTCCCTCTCTGTCTGTCTGCGGTAATGCTGGTCAGAGCAGACAGAGGGGACTGGCTGACCTTTCCTCTCCTGTGGGAATTGCACTGAAGACCAGCTTGTACCCTTAGGGCTGCTCCCTATTACTCTAATACCAGGAAAGGGCAGGCAGGGGGTTGCTCTGGGGAGAGAAGAGGGGGTAGAATCCATAGTTCACCATGTAAAATATCTCATTTTGCTTGCACATTGGCCTCCTCAATTAAAATACCCGCATGGTGTCTGTGGCATGGGACAAGTGGAAGGAGCAAGAGATGCTGCCAGAGGACAGATGCTCTCCGCGTGCAAAAACAGCCAATAGCTAAGCTGGCCAGGGATGGCAGGAGGCATTGGGACTGAGACGCATCGGCAGAGCTAGGAAGGGAATAGCAGGGGATGCTGGGGCTGAAGTCCGTCGGCAGTGTGGCTCATGGGGAGCCCAGGCCTGGGACAGCAGGGCGGGATGCAAGTCAGAACTGAGCTGAGCATGGGCACTGGGGAGTTGGCTATTCAGACAGAGCTGTGTGCCAGTCCCCCACACCAACCGCGTGGTTGAGTCGATCTGGCTGGGGAGTAACGGGTGGGGGAGTCATGCACTGGGCTCACCTACACTCTCAGGCCTTCCCTTCCCTAGAGCCTTGTTACTGTTCCTGAGCACTCCGCCCAGGAGTTAACCAGCGCCAGAGCAGGGGGAATGGGGTTTGTACTCCCAAGGCCTGGGGAAACCATGCTGGGCGGCCAGGCCTGTAACAGCAGAGCCAACTGCCTGGCTCAGGTAACATGAGCTGATGCTGCAGCCAGGAGGTAAAAATTCAGCGCTCAGGACCTCCACAAGGGATCCCAGCGAGGTGACAAACACGGCTGATGGGTGTGAAGTGAGTCTGCGGAGTTCCCGTCTCCAGGTGCCCATGGGGCAGGTGGGATTGAGAAGCATTCACCTTTGTGTCACTGCTGCCTTCTCCTGCCAGTTCCACCAAGGCGGGGAAGCTTTAGAATCCATCCAGGGGCTCAGGAGGAGCCCCACTGGCAGAGGGGCTGAGAAAGAACATTGAAATGTGAGGGGGTATTTAGCACAGGGAAGGGGTGAGGAAGAGCCAATCCCCTGTTAACTGCTGGAGGAGTTAGATAGATAAAGGAGCCCAGCATGGGATCCAGGACAGGGCACCTGCCCACGCCCCTTGAAGGACTAAGACAGGGAGCCATCATTCCATGTCAATGGTGAGCGAGAACTCTCAGCAGGTAAATCATTCTAGCAAGGCCTGGGGGAGCTCCCACCTGCCTCGTGCCAGCCATAGGTCTCTGCCAACCGAGGGATTGTTGCCAGGTGGGGGAGAGTTTGAATCTTGTGATGCCGCCCACAGGGAGGCAGCAGAGCTTGGCAGTGCCCAGCTTACTCCTTGTACCTTCAGGGATCCTCAGGGTGGCCATCTGCAGGAACGCTTGCAAAACATGCTAGCTCCCCCGAGGATCTAGCCAGCCGCAAGAGCTTATTCCTTTTGCAACTTGGCAAGCTGCCTTTTCCCATGAGCCTTGGGGGAAGGGAGGGGGGCTGTGGGGAAGCAGTAAACATCTCGTTTCCTAGAGTACAGGGAAACAAAAGCTAAGTGGATGCCAAGGCTGCGCCTGTACTGTGTGTGTTCAGCCCCAAAAGCATGCTTTACCCGAGAGAATAGGCAGTTGCCTCCCAGACCCCACCCTGTGTGCCTGGGGCCAGCCCAGCCTACCTCACTGACCTAGTCCCTTATCACAACCCCCTCTGATTTGCCACTGATGTGCCCAGCCTCAGTGTCCCCCACAACACAGGACTGGAACACCCTTCCTATTCCGCTTCCCCAGCCCACCCCCTCTTGCCTTTCCAGTCTCTTCTGAACGCTTGCTCCTTCAGGTCCAACAAGTGGGGCTTGAAAAACCCACTTTCCTGTGATAAGTAGGAAACTGATCTATGGGGGTCTTTCTATTGACTTCAGTGGGCTGTGGATCAGACCCGTAGTGCTGGGCTTTCCGGGTTTTTCATGGTGACCTTTTCCATTTAATTGGTGCCCACCCCAACTCCCATCATATACAACACAATAAACTGAGGTCAGAGCTAGTTTCAAGTGTTTTACTTTTATGCTGTGCTTAAAGGGATATGACCAAGACAGAAAACCATATTTATAAATATCACACCCTTTTCTGGGTTTTTAATACCACTTTAGATGATCAAAACTGAAAGATCTTTACAAATCAGAGACCTGATTCTGCAAACATTCGCTCACATCAGCCCCTTCACTTGCCTGAAGAAGGCTTTGTCAGACTGGGTTCTTAATCTGTTTTTCAGAACATAAGCTCTTTAATTAAGGTGAGTGATGTGCAAAAAATAATATTCTCAGTTTTGCTTTCTGTTTGTGGCCCGTTTGATGCACTAGAACAAAGCTCTTGTGTTGAGTTTCCGGAACTGGAGGAAGAAATATTTAAAGGCACACCACCAACTTAAGCATCCCATTCCTGTCAGAATTTGTTGGACCCTTTCCAGTTAACAATAACTCCCAAGATTACTAGTATTGAAATAGACTAGAGCAAAGTGGTTTTTTTTGCTTGCTCCTTCAGTTTGTTTATTTTGTATAGTCAAACTTTCCCCCACTCCGTAAGAACAAACAGTCAGTTTCTTCCCTTCTTGCTTGCATGACTTTCACAGAGCAACAGCAGAGAGGGAAAACATTTAAAAGATAGGAAAATGGGATTGCAAACCCACAATTTGGCAGGGGCACCAAAGGGCATGTCACTCAGGTTTTGAAACAGACTGTATTGCAAGCTGATGCCACTGCCTTTTGAAATACAAATAAAAGGAAAATAGATATTGGAGGGGGCAATATAAACGCACACACACGGTGTGGGTGTGCCGGTGTGCACTTGCACATGTGTGCTCACACAACCCCCCCTACATTTTGGATCTAAGTCTGAATTGGCCATCTTCCTTTTTAAAGGCAATCACACACACACCAGACTGTAGGAGATTAACTAAACTCTCTTCTCTTGCAAGAATTTACAACTGGATACCCAGGAGATTGGCAATCGACTGCAGACCTGCATCGCTGATCAGAAGAACTTGGATAGTGATGTGGTATGTCTCTGAGGGGAACGATTTGCATATGAATTGCCAAGGCACCCCCGGGGCCCCAATTCTCATTCTCTGACTCCTCCTTTTCAGGTGCTGATCTTCACTGAAATCCCTAGCTTCTCCTCCTTTATTTCTTCCCCGCAGGTCTTCTGCTCTGAGTCAAGATCTCAGCTACTTGGACCAGGAAGGACCTGATCCTGAGTATAGGCACAGACTCAGTGGGTGCTCCAGGGCTGGAGCACCCACGGGGAAAAATTAGTGGGTGCTCTGCATCCACCAGCAGCCAAGCTCCCCTCCCAGCCCCCCCCACCTCCGCCTCCTCCCCTGAGTGCGCCACATCCCCGCTCCTCCGCCTCCTCATCCGTGTTTGCTCCGGGAGGGGGAGAGGAGGAGTGGGAACGTGGCGTACGGAGGCGGGGAAGAGGCGGGACCCGAGTCGGAATAGGGTCAGGGAGAGGGTAGAGTTGGGGTGGGAACTTTGGGGAAGGTGTTGGAATGGGGGTGGGGCTGATGTGAGAGGGGGCGGGGGAGGGTGGAGTTGGGGCAAGGTCAGGGGCAGGGTGGGGGGTCGAGCACGCACCAGCGATAGCAGAAGTCAGCACCTATGATCCTGAGAGGTGCTGATCAACTCATTCCCTGTGACTTCAGTGCTCAGCATGTCTCATGGTCAGGCCCTAAGCAGCACTAAGTGTCCCAAACCACCTCCAGTAGGAACAGGAATTACACATATATTGAGGGGCAAGGCACATGAGTCTCTTCCTGAGTTTCTGTGGTCCTCCTTCCTCCTGACGCACCAGGAAACACCCCAATCCATCCAGCTTCCTCTCTTGCTAGAGGATTCTTTAGGGACAGGAAATGCCAGTGCTTCTATAGGAGGAGTTAAAGCCTCCACTTCTCCACTAGGAAGGCTTAGGTGTCCGTCCCTAGTACTCCATGATCGCAGAAGTGGTGGTATGGGCATCTGGGGAGGGTCTGCGCCATCGTGGAACCAAGGATGCTGCTCAGTTAGGGAACATACATTCTCTGTCGAGCTATCTTCTTGGGTGATCCCTGGGCTGCTAGTCTCTGAAGAGTTAATGGAGGAGAGAATGAAGTCCCTTCCTAGACATGCACCACAGAAATACAGTCATCTCTGTTTGGTTTTGGTTTGCTTTCTTTCCAGAGGAACCTAGAGCGAAGGATAAACCTCTATCCTTCCCCTGAAGAAATGTATAACATGGTGCGCTGGGAAGTTCTGGAGGACTGTCTTGTGACAGGCAAAGACAAGAGCCCATCCACTGTGAGTGTGACTTCAATTAGGGGTGGCAGGGGGGAGCGGGGAGCTTAATATGTTTGCTCCCTTCCTCTTCCTCTGCTGAGACATCCCCATAATAGAGTGAGGAGGGAGATCTTGTGAATCTGGACCTTTTCCAGTCTTTGTGCGGCTTGACACGGTCTGAGACACTCTTCTCTGGGGCAGGATGTCCGGAACTGGCTTTGAGGGATCAGCCTGTACCTCTGTCAAGTTTCACATTTCTAGGCCCCAGTGCCATGCAAGGTTCCACTTGATCAGGCTCTCGTCCAAGGCTTCTCTCTCTAAATGTGGCCTTTTCTGATGTATGAGAGAGCTGGGCCTTTTCCCTCCGCCTGCCCTCTGACCCCATGTTGTGATGGCACCTTGTGATTGCCATTCCTCTGACACCAAGGGGCCATGCCTGAGCACTGGAAATCCTTGTATGACTCCTACCCAGGGCTTCCCAGTGCAGGGGTGCCGGAACGGGGGGTGTCCAAGGGGCCATGGACCTCCCACTTTTTGCCTGTCCACTTTTCACCACCAGCCCCACCCCTGTCCCTCCGCGTCCCCCTGAGGCTCCGCCTCCCAGCCAGGCTGGAAGTGGAGCCTAGCTCAGGGAGCCTGGGCAACTGTGGGGTGCTGCCAACCCTCCATCTGCCCTGGGTGGAGGAATCCGGGGGTTGGGGACATGGGCTTGGGCTGCTCTCCACCACCCACCCACCCCCCTGCCACCATGGGCAGGTGGAGGGGCCCAGGCTCTTCAGGGGGAAGAGGGTTACAGGAGTGGGGCCACGGAGGGGGCCACTTTGGGGAAGGCTCCACCACCCCTGTCACAGTGTCTAACTAGCACAGTATGAGAAGGGTAATTTGTGTCATTTGGAGGTCTCACATTCTTGGAATTGATGCACTTACAGGATTTTACAGTGGCCACTGGACTAAATTAACCACTGGTGTAACCCCATCAACTTTACTCAGTGCATGAATTTGGTCCTTTCTTTCCGTGCATGGTAAACATGTCTTATAGATGGGCTAACTGATCTGGTTCTTTCCCTTTTCTTGTCTCCAGGGTGCAGGCCTAGGGCAGCTTCCTGTTGCATTTAACTGTCTAGGGAAGTCACTGGCTGAATCTTCATGATTAGATAGCAGTGATGTCACCATGTCTTATAGGGGTTGATTGGAAAGCTAGTCCTGAGAGAAGATGAATTTGGTGGCAGTTGCCAGGGGATGGCTGCCAGCCTCAGAAAATAGCCTCACAGTGTGATACAACTGGTAGCTTATGGTCAAGCTGGAGGAATGCTAGAGTGGAGTAAGGCAAGGTGTTGTGGGTCAGGATGGAGATGCATTTGGCAGAGAATTGGAAGGTGCAGAGGAACTTACACAGTGTTTCCGTGTACCATACGTAGCTCTAGCCATTGTGCTAGCAGGACTGAGTACTTTACACAAGTGGGACTAAACCCTGCTCTTTTCCAAGAGGTTCATCAGAGCAGATCTCCACTTCTCCCCCTCTGGCTTAAGCCCCGTTTCTCTCCCAGAATGCATACATTCCGTTACTCTAATTCACAGGCAAACACCCTCCCCTTCGCTTTGACATCCTCCTTCATCATGTCCAAATAGCACATTGTACACTTTACCAGCGCACTTGCATCTGTGGAGGATATATCGGTTTAGCTGCGGTCAGAGTTATAGTTATACACTTGGGAGTGGGTTAGAGTAGCTGCATGTGTATATTGTGATTGGTACTCATTGGAGGTGCAAGGGAACTTGTAGTGGAGGTGAGGGCCTGTGAGCGTGTTTGCACAGGAAGGCTTGTGGGTGAAGATTGGTTTAACTGGGGACTTCAACTTGTAGTGATCACCTTGGTGGGGTTTGTACTTCAGCAACCTTAAATCCAAGCTAATGAAGGAATGTGCCTGATTGAACACATCTGTAATACACCCCTACCTCCATGAACAGGCTGTGAGGGAAGGTCAGGGGCAGCATTTGGCTCATAGCATGCCTGTCAAACAATTAACTTCATATAGCATCATACAAGGTGGCAACTTCATGACTGTACCATTCTGTGGGAGTCATAGATTAGCTACTGAGATCCCCCTGTGGGTATGGAGTAGATAGAAAAATAGAGACACTCACAGGGCACAGGAGGTGATGTCCTATAGGGCAAATAAACCCATGGGAATTCAACAAGTTAATTGATCAATTGGGAACTTCTGTTCCAGTGCTAATCTCTGTAGTAAGCAACTATATTGCAACATGATATTCCTAACACATGCTATTCTTGTTCTGTGTCAGAAACTCTATAAAGTTACCCATGCATGCAGGATGCATGCAGGTGGCATAGTTTCCAAAAGAAATCATTTATTTCCTTACCATGGAATGACATTTCATATTTATGTGACTGCTAATTCCCAGAATTAGTCATTCCAAAGACAGTCCCTGGAATGTATTGGTGCTATTAGGAGGTGAAGAAGGTGATCAGACCTTCTCAGAATGGGATAGGCCTGAGCCACCAGATCTAGAGTTGGATGAGGATTTCCAGCTCCTGAGAGTGGACCTAGGTTCTGGTTTGGCCTGGGGACCCCCCTACAGAATTATGCTTAGGATCCTGATACCAACTACTCCCCCCACCTCAGCCTCACACATTTTAGCTCAAGTGTGCTTCAGTCCAGGGTTTCAGTTCTGGCTCATGTGATTTTCATGCATACACAATGCTTGTTGTTCCTATGGAGGGCGTTTTGGCAGACAGAGTAACTTTAATACCTGGTGGAAAGTAGCTGGTGTGTCTGGCAGGGGCAAGCGTACACAATTGAGAGGGAGGGGCAGATATCTGCTAGGAATCCCATCCCAGAGACTCCTCTAGAAAGCAGGCTCCTAGGAAACACTTGGCCACTAGTGGAATTGATTCAGCAACCAGCAAGGTCTTCAGAGGGCGTTTTGTGATTGCTGCTTCCTTTCAGTATAAAGGCCGGCTGGGGGCACGTCCTGTCCCATTGCCCATTCTGTCCAAATAGGCCTGTCTGATTTGATGGTAGTGTTACTTCCAGTTGAAGTGCAGAAATAGAAGAGGGTGGTTTTGAATATCCCAGCCCCCCCCCCCCCCCCCCCCCCAATTTACTTTGAACTAGTGCCCATCAGTAAATTGCTCCCATTCCATTGGTTTCCAGGAAGCCCAGTCTGGGGATCCCAGCCTAGGCCAGCCCTCTCCAGCCGAGCAACCAGCTTCAGTTATGGACACCCAAGCCAGAAAACCCTCTGTAACCTGGGCAGGGGCTCCAGGGAGCCAGCCTGGCTCTCCCAGCAGCAGACCTGGTACTCCAGGGATGCAGGCAGGGACCAGGGCAGGCATGCCAGTGGTCCAGCCAGCAGCCCGGGCAGGCACTCCTGGAACTAGGGCAGGCACACCAGAAGCCCAAGCAATCACTCCAGCAGCCCAGGCAGGCTCCCCCAGGACCCAGGCAGGCTCCCCCAGGACCCAGCCAGGGGCCCAGGCAGGCATCCCCGGGGCTCAGCCAGGGTCACCTGGGGCCCAGGCAGTCTCCCCCGGGGCTCAGCCAGGGACCCAGGCAGTCTCCCCCAGGACACAGCCAGGGGCCCAGCCAGGCTTCCCCGGGGCCCAGCCAGGCTTCCCCGGGGCCCAGCCAGGGGCCCAGCCAGGCTTCCCCGGGGCCCAGCCAGGCTCGCCAGGGGCCCAGCCAGGCTCGCCAGGGGCCCAGCCAGGTTCCCCCTGGGCCCAGCCTGGGGCCCAGCCAGGTTCCCCCGGGGCCCAGCCCAGGGCCCAGGCAGGCTTCCCTGGGGCCAAGGCAGGTGCTCCAGGAATCCAGCCAAGCTTCCCTGGCACCTGGCCCAGTTCCCCAGGGACCCAAGTGGGACCTCCTGGAGCTCCAGGGACCCAGGCAGGCTACCTTGGGACCCCAGCAGGTGCTTCAGCATTGCAGCCCACATCACCTACAGCAGGTCCCTCAGCTCTAGCAGCCCAGCTTGCAATTCCACCTGGACCTTACTCTGCCGTTACATCCCCGGCATCACCTTTACAAGAGAAGGACAAACGCCTAACCTCATCCACCCCGCGAGAGTCCTCCGGGTCCAGCAGTGCCTCCAGCCGCTACTCAGATACCGTGGAAGTGCTGCGCCAGATCGGGCAGCTGACTGACCTCTACACCACCTTGAAGGAGCAGATAAACTACCTGGAGCAATTCAAGTGTAGCCACGCCGACCTCAACAAGCTGCGACAATTCCTCTCGGATGCAGGTAGGGACTTACCCATCAGCCAGTGTCTTCATCACATCCTTTTGGGAGGGGGCAATGCAGGCAGCTTCCTGGGTATGGCTCCTCAGGTATGGCTTCCCAGAGTGATGCTGACTGTAGCCTTGTGCTGGATCCTCAGGGGTGTCTGGGTGAGCAGTGGGGCTCTTGGCTGGGGCCTGGATCCCTTCTCATGGTTCCTCAGTGACTGGCACACTGCTCATACCTTTGGGCTGACTCCCCAGTGAGACGCGCTTGGTGGAATGGGAGCAGCTTACTTTGACTGGGCTGTCATTTAAGGGCATAAATATCCAGAGTGGTACACTTAACGGTCATAAATATTCCACCTTGGGACTCTTGCCCTGACTTTGACAGGGGTCTAGGGTTCACTCCCAAGGTACCATTTTGAAAAGGGGCCTTTTATCGCATTTGGATCATTTTATGGTTCATTTCAAAGTATCTTGTTGCATCTCCATCCCCCATCCTGAAACAATACAAAATATCCCAGTGCGGGGCACTGATGAGGGCCATTGGGGTAAATGGGGGTGCAGGGAGTGCAATTCCATTCTTAGGGGAGCTTCATATCTCTGCTTGTGTTGGTTTGGAGGCTATAGCTGGTAATCTGCTTTCAGGGTCTGCCTCTGAGCTAAGCCATAGATTTATTAAAGGGGGCCTTCTGTATCTTGGTAAAGAGGAGAGGGATAGAAGCTGATAAAGTGCAGGTAGGAACTGAAGAGAAACAATCAAACAAAATAATCCAATTCAATTACATCACACAAAGGCAGACAGCTGAATACAGACACAAACGCTAGAAGTCTAAATACTGAGGTTGGTGAACTTGAGTGCGTGGTATTAAATGAGGATATTGCCATAACAGGCATCACATAAATTTGGTGAAAAGATGATAATCAATGGGACACAGTAGTACTAGTGTACAAAATACATAGGAAAGACAGAGTAAGTCATGCTGGTGAGGGAGTGACATTATATGTGAAAGAAAGCAGAGTCAAATATACTAAAATTTTAAATGCTCAAACTGTACCATAGACTCTCTGTGGATTAAAAATTCCATGCTTGAATAGTAAGAGTATAGCCATAGGAATATACTACCAACCACCTGACCAGGATGGTGATGGTGATTGTGAAATACTACAAAAACAGAACAGCCAGTAATAATGGGGATGTCCCCCATATTTACAGGGAACATGTCACCTAAGGATGGGATGCAGAGATAAAATTACTAGACACCATTAATAAGTGCTTCTTGGCGCAGCTAGTCCTGGAACCCACAAAGGGAGAGGCAGTTCCTGATTTAATCCGAAATGGAAAGCAGGATCTGGTACAAGATGTGCATATGATTGAACTACTTAGTAATGCCATAATGTGATTAAATTTAATATTCCTATAGGGGGGGAAATACCAAAGAAACCCACCACAGTAGCATTTAGCTTCAAAAAGGGGAACTACACAAAAATAAGGAAACTAGTTAAATGGAAATTAAATTAAAAGGAACAGCCACAAGAGTGAAATGCCTGCAAGCCGCATGGAAACGCTTTAAAAACACCATAAAGGCTCCAATTAAATGTATATACCCCAAATTAAAAAAAAAAACCAGTACGAGGACAAAAAAAAATTGCCACCATGGCAAAAATGCCACTCAACAGAGTGAGTAAAAGAGGCAGTCGAGGCAAAAAGACATCCTCTAAAAATTGAAGTCAAATCATAGTGAGGAAAATAGAAGGGAGCAAAAACTCTGGCAAGTCCAGCAAGTGTAAAAGCATAATTAGGCATGCCGAAAAAGAATTTGAAGAGCAACTAGCAAAGGACACACAAACTAGCAGCAAATTTTTAAGTACTTCACAAGCAGGAAGCTTGCCAAACAATCAATGTTGCCACTAGATGATTGAGGTGCTAAAGGAGCACTCAGGGAAGACAAGGCTGTGGCAGAGAAGCTAAATTAGTTCTTTGCTACAGAGAGTGTGAGGGAGATTCCCGTACCTGAACCATTCTCTTTAAGGTGATAGATCTGAGGAACTGTCCCAGACTTAGGTGACAATAAGGAGGTTTTGGAACAAATTGATAAATTAAACAATAAGAAGTCACCAGGACCTGATCGAATTCACCCAGGAGTTCTGAAGGAACTCAGATCTGATATTGCAGAACTACTAACTGTGATGTGTAACTTGTCGCTTAAATCTCTGTACCAGAGACTGGAGGATAGCTAATGTGACACTGATTTTTAAAAGAGGTTCCAGAGATGATCCTGGCAATTATAGGCTGGTAAGCCTAACTTCAGTACCGGGCAAACTGGCTGAAACTATTGTAAAGCACAGAATTACCAGACACAGAAATGAACACGATATGTTGGGGAAGAGTCAAAGTGGCTTTTGTAAAGGGAAATCATGCCTCCCCAATCTATCAGAATTGTTTGAGGGAGTCAATAAGCATGACAGGGGTGATCTAGTGGATATAGTGTATTTGCACGTTCAGAAAGCCTGTGACAAAGTCCCTCACCCAAGGCTGTCAAACAAAGTAATCAGTCTTGGGATAAGAGGGAAGGTCCTCTTCTGGATCAGTAACTGGTTAAAAGATAGGAAACAAAGGGTAGGAATAAATGGTCAGTTTTCACAGCGGAGAGAGGTAAATAGCAGTGTCGTCCATCCCCGTCCCCCCATGGTTCTCTACTGGGATCAGTATTGTTTAACATATTCATAAATGATCAGGAAAAGGGGGTAAACAGGGAGGTGGCAAAATTTGCAGATGATATAAAATTACTCAAGTCCAAAGCCGACTGTGAAGAGTTACAAAAGGGATCTCACAAAACTGGGTGACTGGGCAACAAAATGGCAGATGAAATTCAGTGTTGCTAAATACAAGGTAGTGCACTTTGGAAGAAGTAATCCCAACTAAGCATACAAAATGATGGGGTCTGTCATAACCATACAGCTAAGGGTAGCCTAGAATACCTCCTTACCTGTAAGGGATTTAGAAGCTCAAATAACCTGAGTTGGCACCTGACCAAAAGGACCAATGGGGAAAAAAGATACTTTCAAATTGGGGGGCTTTGTTTGTGTGTTCTCTGGGGAAGCAGAGAAGCATCAGATCAGAAAAATCCCCCTAAAATCATCCTAAAATGAGCCTCAATATTGTAAAAAGAGTAAGTAAATAAGGCAAAGCATGTTAGATTATCTTTTGTTTTTAGCTTGTGAATTTTCCCTTTGCTAGAAGGAGGTTTATTCCTGTTTTTTGTAATTTTGAAACAAAGCCTAGAGGGAGCTCCTCTGTGTTTGTGAATCTTTTGTTACCCTGTAAAGTTATCTTCCATCCTGATTTTGCAGAGGTGATTCTTTCACCTTTTCTTTAAATAAAATTCTTCTTTTAAGAACCAGATTGATTTTTCAGTGTCCTGTAGACCCAAGGGATTGGGTCTGTGCTCACTTTGTAACCAATTGGTTAGGATATTATTCTCAAGCCTCCCCAGGGAAGGGGGTATAAGGGCTAGGGAGGATATTTTGGGGGAGATAAGGCTCCAAGTGGCCCTTCCTGAATGTTTGTTTAAATCACTTGGTGGTGGCAGCACACCGTTCGAGAACAAAAGGAATTTGTGCCTTGGGGAAGTTTTTAACCTAAGCTAGTAGAAATAAGCTTAGGGGGTCTTTCATGCGGGTCCCCACATCTGTGCCCTAGAGTTCAGAGTGGGGAGGGAACCCTGACAGGGTCTAAATGAGCTGTTACCACTCAAGAAAGAGATCTTGGAGTCATTGTGGATAGTTTTCTGAACATATCTACTGAATGTGCACTAGCAGTCAAAAAAACTAACAGGATGTTATGAACGATTAAGAAAGGGATAGATAATAAGACAGAAAATATAATAATGCCACTATATAAATCCATGGCATGCACACATGTTGAATACTGCATGCAGTTCTGGTTGCCCCATCTCAAAAATATGTATTAGAATTGGAAAAGGTACAGAGTAGGGCAACAAATATTATTGGGGTATGGAACAACTTTGGTACAAGGAGAGAGAAAAAATCTGGGACTTTCTAAGGTCATCTTAGAAAAGAGACGATATGATAGAGGTCTATAAAGTGACAAATAGTGTGGAGAAAGTGAATGGAGGAAGTGTTATTTACCCCTTCCCAGGGGTCACCCAATGAAATTAATAAGCAGCAGGTTTAAAATAAACAAAAGGAAGTACTTCTTCACACAACGCACAGTCAACCTGTGGAACTTGTTGACAGAGAATGTTGTGAAGGTCACAAGTATAACTGGGTTCAAAAAAGGGTTAGGTAAGTTCATGGAGGGCAGCTCTATCAATGGCTATTAGCCAAGGTGGTCAGGATGCAACCCCATGTTCCAAGTGTCACTAAATCTCTGACAGCCAGAAGCTGGGACTGGACAACAGGGCTCACTTGATAATTGCCCTGTTCTGTTCATTCCCTCTGAAGCATCTGGCAGTGGCACTGGCCACTGTCGGAAGACAGGATACTGGGCTAGATGGACCATTGGTCTGACCCAGTATGGCTGTCCTAACGTACACAATCAATTGAGTGCTTCCTTTGTATTTCCATGGTGGTGTCTAGTCCCTAAGAACCTCTCCAGCATGCCTGCTGACCTCATGGACCAGCTGTCTTCCCTGAAGGCCACGGCAGAAGACATGAAAGATGTAAAGGCCAAGGTGAGCAGCTGGTGTGCCATCTTGTAACCTAACCATGGAATCAGCGATGGTAACAAGGCCACTGTGGTTGGCTGGGATGGCGTGCAAGACAGGGACTTTGATACTGTATCATCCAGGGTCCGAACATGTGCTGTAGGCTGTGGAGTTGTGGTATCAGCATTAGTGGTGAACGTCCCTGCTCTTTGGTATTGTGGTGAAGGCTCTGAACTGAGACTTTGGAGACCTGGGTTCAGTTTCATACTCTGCCACAGACTTAGGACCTTAAGCAAGTCACTTAGGGTTTGATTCCCTCAAGGACATTACACCAGTGAAAAATCAGGTGGAGTTGAGCCTGGATCTACTATGACCCCTTGCCAGCCCTAACACACCTGCTCCCTTCCCAGGCGTTACAAGGGGGATGCCAGTGCAGGAGTTTTACCCTGGTAAAGAGTCCCCCTACAGAGGGAGAATTAATTAGGGGCTGCTTAATCTGGAGAACCCAGCCCTTAAACTGTTCCCCGAATTATCCAGATCAGATAATGGTACAATGGTTAATTCATTCCCCCACCTTTGTCTGGCTTGTCTGTCTAGACTGTGAGCTCTTAAGGGCAGAGACTCTCTTACGGTGTCTTAGTAAAGTGCCTAACACAACGGTTCCCTGAACTCATTGGCTTCTCGGCATGCTCAGAATATTAAGAACAATAATAAGATCAGTGTGAGGTGAGGGAGAACCGCTGGGAAAGGAAAGGGGGTGGGAGATTGGCCCTTGTATCCCTCAGAACAGGTTGCACCAGGCTTCCTCCTCATCTAGCCCCCCTCCAAAGAGAGCCGCAGATTCTTCAGCAATCCTGCCCAAACCCACCTCTGCTCTACGTCTTGCCAAGGATTATTTTCCATCACAATGTACACTAGATCACCCTGTTGCTTTCTGTGCTCAGGGCAGTTTTGAATGGGGAGGACAGCTGGGTGAGTGGGACAGTGTGCAGATTCCTAGCTACTGAATTGGTTAGTCCAAGATCCCCTCTAATTGAGATTCACTCCAAAAAGAGAGGGTGTGGGTGTAACAATTTTTTGTGCTTAATGCACTGAGCTAAATTCAGTGAATACAAATCCTTTGAAATAATTAGTGTCATCTGTTTACATCAGGGCTGCATTTAGCTGTATTTGAACTCAGCACAGGCACTGGGGCCAAGGGGTGGGGAGTTATTCAGCCAGTTTGAGGGAAGTCCTTGCAGGCAGATGAATGCCTGAGGTCCTCACTCTTCATGGTTGTCATGGTTCTAGGTAAGGAAGCTGCAGAATGTCCTTGAAGCAGAGGTGGCAACAGAAGCAGATCAGAAAGTGGAGGGATCCAGTCAGATTAACCTGCAGTTAGGTTACCTCAGGTAAAAAGTGAAGAGAGCTGTGGATGTGTGCATCTCTGCTGCTAATGCAACAAGCTCCAACAACAAGCCTCAGTCCCACAGGATTCACCCGAGCTATAGATCTGGCCTCTGACAAAAGAGGGGCCTGTTATCAGACAGGTTACATTATTTAGTTGGTTTTGGTCCTGCTTTGAGCAGGGGGTTGGACTAGATGACCTCCTGAAGTCTCTTCCATCCTAATATTCTATGATTCTATAATAAATCTGGACTCTAATACTGGTCCAGACTCCATTGGATTCGTACCTAGGCTATAGAGCTGAATTCCAGTGCCTCGTTTGTTATACTTTCATACAATCTACGGTTTCTGATCTGAATCCCTCATGTAGACCTGAGCCGTGATAACTAGTTCTGTCTCACCCGGTTCAGACCCGAGTTGATGCAGAACTGAACTACAGTTAACTACTCACGATCCCAAGTAGTTCATCACGACCAAGACTGCCATCCGTATTCCATTCCCTGGGATGGGGCTGAACTGTAACATCTGGCCCACATTCTGGAGGACTTATACAGAACTGAACTGCATAACCTATAGGGCTCATCCATGCTAACTAGCCCGCATCCCTCTAGGGCTGGCTTAAAAATGAGCTAGGCTCATTCCCAGCCTCCCAAAGGGTTTGGTGCATGTAGAAGTGTTTTGTAACAGGTGCCCCATTTGCCATGGTTCGTAGAACAGAACTACCTGCAGGGCAGCCATGGTTCCACTTGGTTAATATACTGCAGGGAGCAGCCATGTATCCCTCCTGGACCAATCAGAGACTTGGACTGTGTTAAATCTGCGTATACGCCACTGGGCTTGCTTTAAGGCAGGGCTGTCGTAGAAGTAGTAACTGAAGGGCTCCAGGCCCTGATTCTAGGTTTTGCTGTGCCAGGCCAATATCTATAACCTGAATAGCACACCTATGGGTGGGGCATTGGGCAGGGCAGGGAGGTACATTGCTAAGTGGCTGTGAGAAGGTTTTGGCACCCAGGGCAGAGGAGTTGGGGGGGAAGTAGGGTGACCAGATGTCCCAATTTTAGAGGGACAGTCCGGATTTTTGGGTCTTTTTCTTATAAAGGCTCCTGTTACTCCCCACCACCCACCCCACCCCTCCTGTCCTGATTTTTCACATTTGCTGTCTGGTCAGCCTAGAGGAAAGGGGTTTGCCATTACTGAGTGGGAGGGAATGTCAAGATCCAGCTGGTTTGAGGAGTGGATTGTTGTTCACCAGTTCATCTTTCAAGAAGGAGTGAGGGAAACACTGGGACATTATGCTGGAGGGGAGGGGTTCCTAGGAGAACGCTGGGAAGGGGGGAAGAGAGTCTAACAGTGCAAGACCTCTCTCCTCCTCGCCTCTCCTCAAAGCAGAGGGACCCGTGGAGCTGGTCTTCACATGTGCCTCAGGCTGGCTTTACATTCCCACCTCACCCACATCAAAGAAGCTGGACAGAGCCCGTAAGAACGGCTGCATTCCTTGTATGGACTTTGCGTTGCTATGTGGTTTGATGGCATCTAAACCACAGAGTTACCACCCAGCAACCATGGCAGGGGCCAAATTCAGCCCTGGGGTAAACAGGCTGACTTCAGGGGAGCTGCATTTGGCACAGCGGAGGGTGCTGGTCCCTGTCTCCATGCTCCAAGGCCCATGGCAGCACCTCTGCTCAGCAAATGACCCTTTCTGTTGTTGGCTCTGTGGTCCAGATCGACAGTGCATGATATAGAGAAAGAGCTGCAGGAGCTGAGGGAGCAGCAGGATCACGGCAAGGCCAAGCTGGAGCAGTCGGTGACTGACACAGCCCTCTACCTGCAGGAACAGGTCAGGTGGTTTGAGGCGAGAGGTCGGGCTGCTCGCTGGCTTGCTGCGAAACAGCTGCCCTTTTGGGGTTGGCGCAATGGTTACTCTGGGTATCTCTGCTTGCCTAGTTCCCTTGTGGTGTCAGACAGTTGCTCAGCACAAAGGTCCCCAGATTTCCTCCTCTTGGAGCCAGTGCGCTAGCCTCGTGGAGCGGGTCAAAGCAGTTAGCTGGGCTCCAAAGGGGCCTCACTAACTGCTGCCTCCCTCCCTGGATCCTGCAGGGGAAGGAAGGGGCATTTGAGCCCAGCAGGACGCTTCCTCCAGAGCCAGGGAAGTGTTTTTCATTGGTGTAGGAGATGACAACTCTGGGTAGCGCCCCAAGGAGGCGCTTATCCACAGGCCATTGCATCCCGGAATGCAGCAGGGTTTGTAAAAGCTCGCAGTAGGCTAAAGCTTTGCTCTGCTATGAGGGGAAGCAGGGTAGAGACCCAACCGTTTCTTAACTTGTCCTGGTGGCAGTTCAGTGGGCCGCCTTGTGCAGTCGAGCCAGACCGACTCCTTGGTCTGGCAGCAATAAGATGCTTTGCTCAGGTACCAGTCAGTACATCTTCTGCAATACTTCTAGAGCTCCACTCCAAACTGACTGGCCCAAGATAGGGACCTTAATGACAGACTCCAAGGCAGTTAGGTCTGGCCTCGAGGGGGAGCACTGCTTCAGCTGCTGCTAACTGGAGAAGATCGCCTAGGACCCATCCATCCATGGGCAAATCCTTGGAGTCTTGGCCAGAATGTATTGCCTCGAGCATTGCCAATATCCCTGCTGGCCAGCAGCAATGGGGTGCTGGAGACACCTCTCTGATAGAGCTCAGCACCCCTCGCCTGGGTGCCTTGCATCCAGGGAAATTCTGCTGGGAGGTGCCTGTTTCAAACCTGACTCCTTCTCTCCCCTGCCTACAGTTAGACAAGCTTAGATCTATCATAGAGAACATGATGGCCTCCTCCTCTGCCTTGCTATCCATGAGTATGCCCACTAGCCCGGAGCCTGGGGAGGCAGCGCCGGATGGCACATGCCCAGCCTGCAGCCTAGACGTCAGCGAGCAGGTTAGCCAGCTGTTCAAACGCTACGAACAGCTGCAGGATTTAATTAGCAGCTTCATGAGGAGGCATGCGGAAAGCAAGCCAGCAAAGAGGCCACAGCTGAGGAGCCAGGTAAGGCCAGCCAAAGGGAAACACCCTGCTTTATTACCCAGACTTCCAGGCTAAAGCTGTGAACGTAATGCAGTACCTGGGAGGAACGGAGGATGGAGGATTTCAGTGGTTCTGTGAGGGGATGGTTCAGACTGGATCCTTTGGGATCTGGGTCCACAGCCCAGTGCAGCAGTGAATTGGAGCAGCAGGCGGGAAGAGCTGCACATGGGAGTCGTGTGACTGTGACCAATTCCGCCCCTCAACACTGCACACCACGCGGGAGCAGATCACTGCCGGCTCCCTGGGAAGCCCCTTGTTGTTCTGGCTCCTCGTTTAGCCTTGGTTTACACCTGCTGTCTGGCCTGGTGGGTGGATGCCTTGACCCCTCATCTCGAGGCCTGGTCTCAAATCCTGATTTTAGGGGTCACATGTCAGAGTGAGTTTTGTGTGTCTTCCCACTGCCTAGTGGGCTCATGCCTAGCCCTACAAAGTCATCCCAGTGGTCAGCATGGCTCGTGGTTTCTGCCCCAGAGAAGCTGCAAACTGGAATAGCAGGGGTGGTGGAGGCCAGGACCGAGGCACATCGGCAGAGCTGTGTGAAGTCCCAAGACTGCAGTAGATGGGGGTGCAGGTCAGGGCTTGGGTGCATCGGCAGAGCTGTGTGAACGGTGTGCTCTCGGGCTGACATAGCAGGGGATGCTGCATTTTGGGGCTGAGGTGCCTTGGTAGAGCTGTGTGGGGGATTCTAAGGCTGGATTAGCAGAGTGTGCTGCAGGTTATGATCAGCAGAGGTCTGAGTGTGATGCAGCTTGCTCATTACCTGCTGTCCTGTGCCAGGCTGAGGGCAGTGCAGTCGCTCTCTTCCAGTCGCACTCAGCTTCACCAAAATGGTGAAGAAGAAAAGGAGGTGGGGATTTGAACAGGGATGTGGGTGTAGCAGTTTGGATCCAGTGCAGATCACAAGGGTTCCATTCCTCCATTTGCTCTGCGGTCTGTAGCTCTAGCTTTGCACAGGTTCCCACCCTGCCCTCAGACACATGTTGCCCTATCAGTTTGATGTGCAACTTGCAAGCCAGACAGTCCAGCCCGCCTCTCTCCTGCCCCTTCCAACTGTGCACCCGTGTCATAAAGGGAATATCCCATCTCTGGCTTGACGCCGTTCAGATCAGCACTTGTCCAGAGCAGAGCTGGAAGAAGACCCTAGTTTGCGACTGAACAGGGAATTGGGCTCCACTTGACCCCATGTGGCATCAGTAAATCCCACAGAACATCTGCCATTAAATGATGCACCTGAGATTAGAGAGGAGAACGAGGCCAGCCCGGTCCTTGTGTGGATGCGGGCGGCACAGTTATGTTCCTGCCACTCTTGGCGTTTGATCTCCTGTGTGGGACAACATAGTGGCCTTATGACACTTATACCGTAACATTCTTCACTGTGTCAGAGCCCCATTATGATGAACTAATGCAATGTTATGATCTATCTAGGGATCTACGCATGAGATTGGGGCCAGAACTCCTGAGTTCTCTTTCTATCACTGTTTTGGCACATAACCTCTCCGTGCCTTAGTTTCCTGTTTGGTAAAATGGGGACAAAAATACTTATTTCTTGGGGGTGGGAGTTGTGAGCCTTGCTCACTTGCTCAACGTATGGAAAATGTTTTGGGAGATGGAAGGTTTCTGGTCGTGTTTCAGCAGTCCATGTCTAGCTGATCTGAATGGCAGGGTATGGCAGCGCCTTCACCTAGCTGAGTGGACCCCAGGAGATGCTGGAATGATTCCTAGGGTCAAATATTCAGCTGCAGCTTCTCTTTCACGTTAAAAGTCACAGTAGCTGATTGTGTCTGCAAAAGTGGGCACAGGCTCATTTTGCACAAACTGATCTGAGACTAGGGTGAGCAGCAATAGTCCACACACACAGGTGGGACTTTGCATGTCTGGCTTTGCATGTCTGGAGTATGCACCCTCTTTTGGAAGCAGAGTCTGCAAAAACAAAAGCCAGCACTAGGCATGTTTTAAATATCATTCCTAAAAGGAAGGCTCAGGGAATCAAACAGATTCATACTTAGCCAGTTCCAGTACAACCCATGGGTGCTGGCACAGAACTCTAGACTCTCCACTGACACTGGGAACCACTTTTTATCCGGACTGTGTCCAGCAGGATACCCCATATATCATGCTGCCCAAGGGGGACTGGGGATTGGTGAAGAGTTGTCTATGGAGCCTGTCACCTTGAGGTCACTCATTTGAATTGACTAGTAGTGGCTGAAAATCTTTGCCAGGGATGCCATGTAAGTGACTTGTTCAGTGGTCTGTGTGATACATGCTGTTGATCCAGATCTCCATGTGCAAGTGAACAGGTGTCCGTGTCACCAAAAGCACATCCATGGCTGGCAGCCTCAGAAGTGAAGCCAAGCACTGGCGGGGCCCTGGAGAACGGCTCTCCCAGCTGTAGCGGAGAGCCCTCCAAGGGAGGGATGGGGCATCGTACCTCTTGCCCATGCCAGGCCTGCTCTGTGGTTCGAAGGCGTTGTGTCTGGCAGTAATTATCTGCTACAGAGCTTCACTTTCCCTTCCGTTGCCCTTGAATCAGGATGAAGAGCTGCTGAGTCGCATCCAAAACACCATCCTCCAGGTGCAAGGAGACTGTGAGAATCTCAATGCCACCACAGGGAATCTCATAGAAGACCATCGGCAGAAACAGAAAGATATCGCTGTAAGTGACGGCAAGGGCCTGGCTAGAGGCCTGTACTCGCCAAGGGTTTGGGTTGCTTGGTAATCAGGGATGCTCTTAGACCTATGCATCCTCATCATGGACGCTCGTTAGCAAGGAAAACAAAGGGACGGGCAGAGGAAATCCTCTCTCCTGCCCTGGGAGAACCCAACACATCTGAGGCTCTACATAGCACAGAGTATAGGTAGGTGGCTCTGGACTCGTTAGCCCCTGAGCTGAGCTCTCCTAGTCCCACATCCAGTACTGCAGGAGACTGAGTCATGCCACTGAGTCGCCTGTTATGATACACCGGGGTTTGCTAAGGCTGTCATCAGAGACCGACCCCAGAGATATAACACCCACCACAGGCATTAAAACACGAGGGGCCTGATGCACAGTGAGTCTCTGCTAGGTGAGCGCCCTCTTGAGAGAGAGAGGGGATCAAAGGGCAGACGGGGAATGTCCACATGGACAGCCCTCCTGTCTGCAGGTCCTTACACCGACTAGGCCTAGATGTGCCCCCTTCACCACCCTGCTGTTGTGTTTAGTGATGACTCAAGATATCTGAGCCCCAGGAGGCCTCAGGCCACCAGGGAGCATGTGCAGGTGTTGCAGGTGGTCTGGGAGATGACAAGTACTGTACAGGAATCTCAGCCTCCCCATTCTCTGACTGGTTTTCATCGCCACCTCTTCTGTGTTCTGTAAAGCTTCTCTTCCAGTCACTGGAGAAGTTGGAAAAGGAGAAAGCAGACAAGGAGCATCTGGAGACAGAAATTGACGTGGTAAGGGGGTGTGCAGCACCGGCTTGGGTGGGACATGGTTTCTTCCGCAGGCACAGGAGATGTATGTTTAGGCTCCCTATTCAGTGGGAGGTGGTGTTGTCCCCTGGCTAGGATCCCAGGCTGGAGAGCTGGGATCTGTTCCTGGCTGTTCTGTGTGGGACTTGAGCAAGTCCCTTCGCCTCTCTGTGGCTCTTTTAAATGGGGCTAGTGACACCCATCTTGTAAATTGCTGTGAGATCTACTGATGAAAAGTGCTAACCATGATTACTTAGCATTTTACATCCTCTAAATGCAACATTAAGGAGACTCTCCCCGTCACGCACATGCTGTTACTCTTATATTACCTACACAGAAGCCAGAATTGTCAGTGGTGGCCCCTTATTTTGCTGCCTCAGCTGCTCAGTGTCTGAATGAGACACCTTGAGCTTTCAGAGGTGCTGAGTACCCGCAGCTCCAATTGCAGATACTCCTGACCTATACCAGAGTACGCAAGAGGAGGGTCCATGCTAGAGTCCTCCTGGGGTATTGGTGAGGAGCCGTCCCAGGCCAGCCATCTGTGGCAGCATCTGCTTTGATGAGGAAGGGCCTGATCTAAGTGGGCAAAGGGGAGGGGGGAGAAAGAAAATGGATAGAGTTGAAGGATGGAGCCCTTACTCAGAGCACCAGAGCCTTGACTGTGAAGGGAGGGAGGCGTTTCTTTCTGGGAAGTAGAGAGGGGAAGCTCTATGCTCACATGGGGCCCTGTGGAACAGGAATGCTGGGTGGAATGCCTCTCTTGTGCCCCAGATCAAACTAAGGTTCTTACTCCCTCCGCCCCCACCCAATCACTCTTCTTTCTCCCCCTGCCCAGAAAGCAGACAAGATTGCCCTGGCTGGCAAAGTCAGCTGCACCCAGTTCGATGCCACCATGGAGCAGCTGAATAAGATGATGCAGGATCTGGTGAACAAGATGAGCGGGCAGGAGCAGGACTGGCACAAAGTGCTCGACAAAATCTTGATGGAGATGGACTCCAAGGTAAGCTGGAGACGTGCCTTCTGCATGGCTCACAGAAGAGCCACAGGAAAGGCAGACGGGAAGGGACTTGGCCCAGTTTATAGCAAGGTGGGATGAGGAGCTTGGTCTGCTCTAAACACTGTATCTGCTATAACTGCTGGGGTTTTCATGCAGGGCCTGGGTCCTATTCTCCCTAGGGTCCCTTTACATTACTCTGGGGCCTTCAAGTGAGCAAAAGTTACGCTCGAGGCCCTTTCACGCTGCCAGACCACTGCAAAGGGGCCGTGGTGTACATGGGAACCTGGCCACAGTGTTTTATTTTTAATTCTCATTTCCTTCTGCCTCCTGTAATGGATGCAGACCTGAGCCCTGGAGCAAGGGGGCTTTGTCATGCATGCTAGGAGTGCTCTGGGAACAGACTGCCATGTCACACACTACAAGCCAGATCTGGGACACCTGGCATGCAGGGCCAGATCTCATCCAGCTGCTGCTGGCCTCACAGAGGGTGCAGGAGATGTGACCCAAGGTGTCCTGGCTCCTATCATTTAGCCCTTAAACCAGGAGCACCTTGGGGCAGGGATTCTGTGACAATGCTGAGCATGCTGGTGCTAAAGCGGGCATGACTTTTTGTTTTCCCCTGTTCCTGTTTCACCTGGTTCTGTGTTCCCCAGCACTCACAGATGTATCCCCTGTAACAGAATGACAGTTCCCTGCAATATCCTCAATGAACTTCACTGAATTAAGTTAATTCGTTGGGGTCTATTGTACTAAAAATGCAGTTGTGTATGTATTGTGGTGGGTTTGTATGTATTTCCATCATGGGAAGGGTAAATAGGAGACCAGCAGTGAGTGATTAGGCAAATTCACTCAGGTTGTAACATCCCCAGAGAAACCACCTGCCTGGACAGGCTGATGTGTACTAGTTCAAACTCCAGGGATCTACAGACAAAGAAAGGGATTTGGGGTAAATAGCCTGATTTTTAAACTGGCTCAGGGCCTTTTTCCTGATCCAGCCACTGGACAGGACTCCTGGTCCATGGAGGGCCCCGATCGTTAGGGGAGGGTTGGAAGGATTGGGCCTGTTGAGGCCCCATAAGACTGGGTGCTTGTTCTGAGCTGAAGCTATGATGAACTTGAAACCACAAGTTTCAGAGTAACAGCCGTGTTAGTCTGTATTCGCAAAAAGAAAAGGAGTACTTGTGAGCTTCTGTAGCTCACGAAAGCTCATGCTGAAATAAATTGGTTAGTCTCTAAGGTGCCACAAGTACTCCTTTTCTTTTTGAAACCACAAGGCAGCCCCTTGGCAGGGTGCTGAAGGACTGCTCCTGCCTGAGCCCATGTTAGGGTTGGGGTGGTCTCTGGTAAGCTTCTTAGTGTACGTGGAGGTTTCTTTGTTTTTAACATGTTTTCTCTGTAATGCTTTTTACCTCAAGAATCAAAGAGGCTTGCATAGAAAGAGCTGTGTGGTGCTCATAACCAGAGCAATTACACCTGTTAACCAAACCATCTCTGAAGAGAAAGCAAAAGGGTGCCCTGGGGCAACCTGTCTGTGCTGGGAAGTAAACAGTGAAGGCAGGGAATGGTCAGTCTGGAAATACCCTGGTCAGAAGGGAATGAGAGGCAGGTCTCCACCCAAGAAGAAGCAACAGCTGGGGAGCTGGAAGCCAGAGAGCCACTAAGGGGAAATACAGGTGTCGTTGCCCTGAATTGTGACACCCCCTGACTGTGGGCTGAGCAGAATTGCCCACTTTATTTGTGCTGCCCGCGTGGCTTTAGTTAGTGCCCTGCTGCTGCCCTGTCACTTAGAGATGATCTGTGGACACTCGGTTGGTCTAGGAACCTTAGGAGGTAAAGATGGCAAGGCCCCATTCAGTGTTAGATCACTCCCAGCAATACAAGATTGTTCTTTGCAGTACATTTCCTAACACTTCGTGCCATCTTATTCCAAATGACCCAAGTGATGGAGCTTCCACCACTTTTCTTGAGAGACTGTTCCAATCTGAATAGCAGGGGAAATTTCCCAGGGTGAGATAGGACAGTCTATGATTTCCTTTGCCTAGCTTCATCCCACAGCTCCTGCTTCTACCTCCATGTCTCCCTTTAGAAAGCCTCTCTCTTCTCCTGGGTGTTCACTGCCTTTGAACACATCATCATGTCTCATTATTATCTCATGTCTCGGTTATGGTGTTAATCATTGGTGAGCCATTTGTACTCACGCATACAAATGGGCACACAGCTTTTATGAACTGTGCATTACCTTGCAGCTGGACCGCCTGGAATTAGATCCCTTCAGACAGCAGCTGGAAGAGCGTTGGAAGGCCATCCGGAAACAGCTGAAGGAGAGGTCTCCCCAGTATGAAGCAAACGATGCTGCTGGAATTAGGAAGTAAGAACATCTGGAGATGGACAGCTACAGCTTTAGGGAAACAAGTTAGACTGAGGGATTGGTCTCTCTGACTTCCTGGGATAACCTCAGTCAGGTTGACTTCTCTTGGGGTTTATCTACACACAGAAGTTGTACCACTTTAACCATGCTAGGATAGTTAAAACACTACAACCCCCTAGTGTGGATGTAATTATACCAATATAAATATGCTTAGACCAGTATAGCTGCTCCATACAGGAAGGGGAATAACTATAAGGCAACTTTATCCTGGTATAACTGCATCCACACTAAAGCTTCTACTATAACACAGTTGGTTTAAAAAAAAAAATCACCCTCCTAGACAACATAGCTATACTGGTACAAAAAATGTGTGCAGACCAGGCCTTAGGATTTTTCTAGTGCTCCCCTATTCAAATACTCTTGCAACTTTCCTGGCCTAAGATGTTTCCAGCTTCTTTGCTCCTGTCGTTCTGTTGTAGGCAGAAGCTCGGTTGCAGAACAGGGAGGCTGTTAATGAAGGTGGAGATTTTCAAAGCTGCCTAAGGGATTGGAAAGGAACAGGCATCTAAATCCCTTACACAGGTTTGAAAAATCCTGTCCTGAAACCTTAAGAATGAAAATCTAAGAGCTGGTAGCTCTTGAAGTGCACTAGGGACTTCACCGTTGCTACTGATTTTATGTGGAAGGCCATCAGATACTATGGTGATGGGCAGCAGTACAAAGCCTTTATATAAGAGAGATTGCTGCCTCTTCGGACAGAGCCATTTGGAGGAATATGTGAGGGAGGGCGTATGGTTCCGTGATTACAGCGGGAGATTGGGACTCATAGCTTTTATTCCTAGCTCTGGCCAGATTTATTGTGTCTTCTGGGGAAGCCCCTTAATGCTTCTCTCTGCCTCAGTTTACTCATGTCATATCTACTTAAGAACTTCACAGGGATTTGCTCCTCAAGGCGTGTCAACATTCACAGTGTTTGGCGATCCTAGGATGAAAGACGTGAAGTGAAACTTTCCCATGAGTTTTACCAACACGGTGAATTGCCACCAGTTGTTAGTTGTCCCCTATGTAGGGCCACCAAAGGGCACCCGTGCTCTTAACGTGTAGGTCCAAGGCACGGTCCCACACATTGCAGGGGCTGCCGGAGAAATGAAACCTGGCGCACCCTGTTAGCCAGATGACACAATAACAGTCTTGTATGGCTCACGTGTTCTGTAAGTTACAGATTGGGTCTGACATCCAGAGTCCTCTTTCCAGCCCACACATGTACTTGCGTGCTCTCTCCCATGGGCCACCTGTTTATTTTTATCCTTTATTGAACCTAACATCAGATCCACTGGGAGGGGTGGAAAATAAAAGCGAACAAACTCTGATGAGATGAGTCAGGTTTTCCCCAGCATCAGGCAACATCTCGGGGGAAGGCAGGGGTGCCTGTTTGGTTGATTTCAGTTGTGCCTATAGGGTGATCTTTACACAAATGGGCAGGTTCAGAGCTGTCATTCAGTCCCTGCAAGAGAGATTGTGCTTTCCTATCAATTCAGGGCAGATTTTCAGTAATGCCTGTTGCTGATTCATGACCCTATCCTTGCTTTATTAATGTAACGAGTGATTAGGAGCAGGATTGTTCTGGGGTTTCAGGTTCTTAGCTACCTGCTCTCTGAAGGTGCAGATCTGGGTCCTGGTTCTGGGCCCTCTTCCCCCCCCATACCCCCGCAGCTTTAATAGGGTTGCCTAAGGTTTATGTGGGTATAGAATTCCACCCCTTCATCACAGTTCTGTGCCAAGTTACATGTGCTTTTAAGCAAATTTTTCCTGGTGTGTTTAGTGCTGATAGAACTGCAGACAGGGTATAGTGTGTAAAAGGCTAATGTGTATGGTAAGTGTGAACGTGGGTGTAAATTTCGTATCCATCGATACATCCATCGATACGTGACACCCAGTGCCTCATAGCAGTTATAGGTGCTAGGTTTATGTATACGACAAAACTTAATCACACCGGCAATGACAGCTAGTGGTTAGCGCAGGAGAGTTGGAGTCAAGACCGCTGAGCCTGCCTCTGATTTGCGATGTGACCTTGGGCAAGTCACTTCCCCACCTGTGCACTGAGGATAATGACATTGGCCCACCTCACAGGGGATGTGGAAGGAGTTAATGCATCACTTTGCCCTTGATGTTTATTATTTGTGTTACTGTATCGCCTCAGAGCCCTAGTCATGGCCCAGGACCCCATTGTGCTAGGCACTGTACAAACACAGCACAAAAAGAGTCCCTGCCCCAAAGTGCTCATAAGCCAAGTATAGCCCCTTTCATCTGAGTAACTCTGAGTATTATTATCATTATATATTAAAAATAACTGGCCAGATCCTCAGCTGGTCTAGGTAGTTCCATTGAAGTCAATGGAGCTGGGCTCATTCACACTAGCTGTGGATCTGGCCCAATACATAGAAATACCTTGTATAAAATTAGTTCCCTGGCCAGTGTTTTGCTGATATGGTCACACAATGGAAGCTATGGAAATATTTCATGTCCCAGGTCACCGTTCTTAGTGCTCTCTGTGGCTACTCAGTGGTCCTCTAGGCTTGGGGCTCTGTAACTTCTTATTCAGTCCTATTGTCCTTAGCACAGATCCAAAGAAACCGTTCGCCCCTGGGCCCAAGCCTGTAATGATTCCCATGTCTGGTTTCATCCCAACAGAAGACTGATGGCTCATTTCCACTGCATTTCCTGCGACAGACCTCTGAAAATGGTGGTGCCCGGCCCGTAAGTACTGCACTGTGTTTCCAGATGCCTGCAAATGTTTTATTGGCGTAAACGTGGCTCTCCAGAGTGCTGCGGCCTTTTACAGGTGGGGCTCGTGGGCAGCCGCTGCTCATGGTCTCTTGAGTTCCTGAGGGGAAACAACATGCCTCCCCCCGCGTCCACGTACACAGGTTTCACACTGCTGTGCGCCTTAGCATGGTGAATCAAACACTGGTGACATGTCCCCAAGGTTGGTTTGGAAGCTGCTTTTTGGGGGCACCCCTCAAACTTCCTATTGGATCTTAAGCAAGTGTCTAACCCTTAGGTGCAGAAACCTTCCCAAATCTGACTAGCTGTAGTAATTAGGTTACTGGCTACAGCTCACAGGAACCACCTTAGCAGATCAAACCAACTGGGTCACAGGAGACAAAAGGGGGTGGTTTGGGTGCCACCCTTGCTCCAGTGGTGTGAGCATAGAGCTGGAAGCCAGGACTTCCTGTGTTGTCATCCCAGCACTGCCATTGGTCGAACTGGTTGGATATTTTCCAGGGGAACGTCTTTCTGTCGGAAAATGCCAATTCTTGGACAGTAGAACATGTAGATGCTGACAAAAAATCTGTTTGAAAAAGCCCCTGATACAAAGCGTTCTGATGATGTCGGAGCATTCCATGGCTACAGTTTCAGAAGGGAATGTTTTTGTTTTTGTTTTGATATTTCTTTTATATTACAAAGGAATACAAATTTAAAACCACAAAATCAGAACAAAAAATGGAATTTTGTTTTGCGGGAGTTTTCTAATCCCCCCACCCCCATTTTGGAACAGAATTTTTTTTTCATTGTGTGGAATTTCACACAAAATGGAAAATCTGGGTCCCGTCCAGCTCTGCCACTGACTCTGTATGTGGTCTTGGGCAAGTCATTTAATAGCTCCATGTCCTTGGCTGTAAAATTGGGATGATAATATTTTATTGATCTCTTAGGAGGCTAGTAAATCAATGACTGTGCAGAGCATTATCCACAGAAAATGCTACAAAGGGAAGGATTATAAAGTAACCATTTTCAGGAGTTCATCCTCCCCTGACCCTTGCTGTGAGACACTTGCTGTGTGCTGCTATCTCCAATCCCCTGTGCTAGGAACGAATGTTTCATAGCACCTGCAAACTTGGAAGAGCGAGATCAAATTAGATAAAGCCTTAATCTCTTTAACTCTGGCATATCAGCTGCTAGAATCTGATTGACCCTGAAGTGGGAAAGCAAGGACAATCACCATAAAAGTTACAGGTTTCAGAGTGTAAACTTCAGATGCAGTTGGCCCGATATTAATTATTCCATTCCTGTGCTGTGGCTGGGGGTGGTGAGGTGTGGAAGGGGGCAGGGGCAAAGATAAATTGAAATTCCTTTTGCGTGCCCCACATTCTAGAGCCTTGCACAGACCTGCCCAAACCCCAGTGTAAATTAGAGCAGCTCTTAGGCTGCTCTAACTTAAGCTCTGCTTCCCATGTCCTTAGAAAGTAGGGAATAGCTTTAGTGCAGTGCACTCTGGCCATCCCCCCAACCCTGTGCCAGGGCTGACCCCGCCCCTGTGCCAGGGCTGGCATGGAGCCCCAGGCCCAGCTCTTCACTGGTCAGGGAGGCCCCTTGCCCAAGAGATTTTCTCAGGGGCCATTTCTGCCCACTTTCAGACCCCTTTACACTGCCAGAGGGGCATGAAGGTGTTACTGCAGGAATTAGAGTCTCTGTGGTGCTGACCCCCATCCATGCTTTAGGGCCCAGTAAACGTCTCCTAGCACTGGCCCTGGAGCAGTAATGGGAGAGGTCAATTCAATCCATGACTCGTTCTCCAGGCTTCGCGTACACCCCCTGCTGGAGGGCAGCTCCAGCGCCATGTGATCATGCACCATGTATAAATGAGGGGCTGAGATCTCCCTCCTGGGACACGTGGCAAACCCCAGACATGCCAGGCAGTGGATTTAATAACCAGGGATGTTCGGATTTTCTCCTCTTCTTCCCCTGACTCCTTTGCTTATTGACTCGCCAGGACCATCATGACCGTACCCTCCGTGCCGGGGTTACCATCTCACCGCTCCATCCGGCCCTACACCGTCTACGAACTGGAGCAAGTCAGGCAGCACACCCGCAGGTATGGTGTATGCGGGAGGGAGGGGCCTTTATTCCTAGTGTTGGGATTCACGTGTGGGTGGGGACCAGAGAACGGGGGATGAGGGGGGAGAGCTCTCCATCGCCGCTGGGAGTGGTGGCAGCACAGAGGTTCCTCTGCTAGCAGAAGCTTCTGGTGTTGACCGGATTGGAGCAACAACTGCAGCTTGGACCAGCCAGCCAGGCGGGGCCCTTCCCAGGCCTGCCTTCCATTTCCGGCTGTCTTGGAGTTAGCAGGGTGGGGATGGTTCCCCCCAACCCCCTTTCCCCAATGTGGCAGCTGTAGGTGTCACCCTACTGCAGGCCTGCTCTTCCTAGCAGAGGGCTGACTGCCTTCTCCTAGGGAGAATGGCCACTCTCCTGCCCCGGGTTTCAGTGCACCAAAGCCTTGTCCTGCTGCCGTTTGCTAGTTAAATGAACGCAGCTTCCTTTCGCTCCATGCTTCCTGAAGCCCAGAGCTGGAATCCCTACACCTGCCCGGATCATCGAGAGGAGGGAGGGGAATTTATCCACGCTGTTATGAATGGTATAGGGGCCAGTGCTGCTCTCAAGGACACCTGTGTGTTATGTCCCAGATTACGGGACTGCCCCATAAATCAAGGCACTGAGGTGAGGTACCTAAATGTCTGCACTGCATGAGTATGTAGGCAGCAGTCATTGAACTCCCAAGGTCCTGCCCCAGCACAGGTTGGGCTCAGTGTAAACTCTGGGATGGCTTCTCTAGGGACCGCTGCTTTGGTTGTTCGAAAGTCCTGGTCAGGAATCGAATGGGGATGTCCCTAGGATCTAACATGGAGCAACCCCATTGATCTCGTTGGGGGTGGCACTGGTGTCAGTGAGAGCAGACTTTGGCCTTGCAGACATTTGCAAGAAGTTAACTGACCCTTTCTCCGCTCGGCCTCATAACCCTGCACAATAAAACCTTTGTAAATCCTCCAGCTGAGACGATAGCAGGTTGTGGGCATGAGCCCAGCTGCAAACTCACTGCTGGGTGATGCCCAGCCCCATGTCACACGAACAGGGAAACCCAAAACTCTCTTCTGTGGGAGAGAACGAATCACTTCAGCCAGGGTGCAATGAGTTTTGTGGGATCTCAGCCCCGTGGAATGTATCCACAGGAGAGAACCCCGCACAAGTGGCCCCATCTGGTTGACGTCTCCTCCAGGAGGTAAAGGGCTGAGTAAGTCTTGGAGAGTGAAATACCCTCTCAGATCTGAGGGGTCGCGGCTGCACAGGGCTGCATCTGCATGGGGGAAGCCTGCTCCGCTGCTAACACTGCTTTGCAGATGACTAGAGGACTTCAGTTTCCAGTGCGGTCAGTCTGTGGCTCCGCCCCCACCCGAGGGGTGAGGCTTCAGCCATCTTTCTCAGGATTCAAATGGGCTGGTACAGCCCGGCTCACCTGTCCTCAGGGTCCTCATCCAACTCCCCAAACAGTGTAATGGCCCGATCTTGCCTCCCTTCCGCATGTGAGCAGCCCCCATTAAGCCCACGGGACTAGTCGTGTGAGCAAGGCTGGGGGATTAGCTCTAACAGCATCCCCGCTCCTTTCCTTTCCTCTCACTGAATGCATCTCCTCCTCCGCCCCAGTCTGAAGTTAGGGCTTAGCCCCTACCCTCGCTTGGATGCGCTCCAGCTGGAGAAGAGCGCGGGCCTTGGCAAGCTGCGCAGCATCCACTCCAAGATGCTCATGGACATAGAGAAGGTGCAGATCCACTTCGGGGGCTCGGCGAAGGCCAGCAGCCAGATGATCAGGGAGATAATGCAGTCGCAGTGTCTCAGCCCAGACCAGTATAACAAACGGTAGGAGAGCAGGTCTGAGTAGTGAGTATCTAGACAGAGACATGCGGGGGAGGGGGGCTCTTATCCCTGCCCACACGAAGAGCTCGGGCACATCTGCATTCACCACAGGGATTGGTGACAGGCTAATGTCATACCTGCTGCGTACAGAGCCAGGAGAGCCTCAGGCAATGGGCGGTCATCAGTCCGGCCCCAGTCATTACGCAATATAGAGCCTGTGGAGGGAGCATCTGGGAGGGACTCTCACCCTCTTTCCTGGCTAGTTGAGCACGGCTGGACGTATCTTACTTCCCTTGGTGGAGTGTCTTGACCTTTCTGTAGTGCTGCTCTCAGATACAGACAAGCTGTACCCGCCGAGGAAGATCTCTCCCCCCAGGCCGCCCCGAGGAGAGGGTACCATGCTGCAGGAGAGTCCTAGGGCCGAGGAGGGTTAGCTATTCAGCAAAGCAAGCAATGTGACCAGCCAGGGGTCAGGCCCTCTTTTGCATTGTAGGTACACAGGACTTGCCCTAGTGGGTCAGACCAATGGTCCGGCTAGTCCAGTATCTTGTCTCCAGCTGTGGCAAGTACCGGATTCTCCAAAAGAAATTGCAAGAACCCTCCAGTGGACTGGTGCATGGACAGTTCCTTCCTAAGTAATCCTGAACGGTTAGCAGTTGGCTTCTGCCCCGAAGCATGACCGTTGATATCTCTTATAGACTTTTATCCTAGGTGGCATGCATACTAATCATGGTACAAACGGGGTCCAGTCTGGTCATAGGGGATAGCATGTGAGGGTGAGGGCTGATAAATACATAAAGCATTGGGGGGGGCACACACACTCAGAAACAGCCTCTCGTAGTCAAACTGGCCTTTAGACACCAGAAGAGTTTGAGGGGGGGAATATTTGTTTGGCTCCAGTTGTGATGAAGCCCGTTCTGGATCTGTTTTCATGGCAGCTACTCACATGGATCTTCCTCTTGTGAGAGAGCCTGGGTGCTTTTAACTGCTGTGTTTGAGATTGGCCAGGTTCTGCCCCAGACCTACTCCCTTACCCCCACTCCGGATTGACAGCGCCGATCATTAGACCCTCGCTATGGCAGACAGCACCAGACATGCACTACAAGGCAGGCACACATCAGTTACCATCAATAAGGCGGGCCTCAGACTCCAGCCTCCTCTGCCGCTGGGACCCTGGATCTGTGTGTCTGTCACTGCCTTTGGTGTTTGCCATGTGGTTTGTGCTGCTTTCAACCCAGACTGGGGACTGAGCCTGGGCCTGCGAGTTGGGGGTGTCCCCAGGCTGCGCCCCGCTCTGTACATCGCACTGTGGGACTTCTTGGCGTGTGTAGGTCTCCCTTTGTCTGCAGTTCAGCAGCCTGATGATGAGCAAACCTCACCGACCGCAGTGCTGTAGCGATGATGACTCCCTGGCTCAGGGAAATGGGCCTTTCTCCTCCGGAGGCCCCGGCCTGAGTTATTCAGGCACAAATGAAAATGAGTCTGAGTTTGTCCCATCTGCACATGGGGTCCCTCGCAAAGGGCCTGATCCTGGGAGGGGCTGATGGTTTCTTGTCCCCAATTCCCATTTCAAATAGTGGGAGCTGAGGGTGCAGAGCATGTCAGGACTGAGCCATCCCCGTAGTGTGGAATGACTGGTGGGGTCTGCTTGGGAGACGCCCAGGTTTGGAGTGAAGTGTGTGTGGGAGGAGTTTGTTTGGCACCTACCCATGTTGCATCTGGCTCCAGCCAGAGGGTTTGGCCCTCACAAATCCAGACCTGAACACACTGGATTCTGGAGCAGTTCGGATCTGGAGCCAAGCTTCACAGCCCCATCTCCAGCAGGCTGAGCTGAAAACCTGGATCCAGACTTTGGGGAAAGTTTTGAATTTGGATCCAGCTTGGCAGCTTGGGCCCCTCTCTATAGGTCAGAGGAGAATAAGAGGAGACCCAAAGAGTCCAAAGGGCTGTCCTGAGGGGTAAGTGTTTCTCTTTGCCTAATACCCAGGCCTTGAGTCCCAGCTGTGTCAGGCCCCTCTCCCCACTGCTACCGTGTTACCGTATGGATGCACAGGCAGTCGCAAGAACTGCCTGCTACTAGAAGGTTGTCGCTCCCACCTCAAGTCTCCTTGTCCCTTCCTCAGCTCCCTCTCCAGTCTCTTCTTTTCCCTGTCCCTGTGGTCTTCATGGAGTTCACAGCTAGCTCAGTGTCCATGTGTGGGGTTCCAGCAGTAGCAGCCAGGAGAGCTACGCTCATGGTAGCATCCCTGAAAGGGGTCACTTTCAACATCCTTTGAAGGTGACCTGCAAGGAGAAGCTAGTGCCTGAAAAGATTTTTTTGTTTGTTTGTTCTTTCTCCTTAGAAAGATCAGGAATGTCAAGTCCCTAGTTTTGTTGGAGGGACTCGTTTGGGATCTCAGAGGGCCTGCGAGCTTTCTCAGCACATAAATGAGGGGCTGAGAGGAAGGTGTTGAGACTTTAACAAAGACCACTTTCCCCCCAAGTGTTTGTCAGGATTTGCGTTAAATGGACGCTAACAAAAATGTGCCCGTTGTTCTAAATAGGCTGCACAAAAGTAACGTCCTCTCACCAATCAAGCATCAGTTTCATGGTGTCTCCGCTGTCAGGATCTTACCAGATCTCCAGTTGTCCACAGCAAAAACAGGATAGGCAAGCTAGCAATGTCTAGTTTACAGACATGCAGAATGTTTTTTAAGAGCCATACCCCTTTCAGGCTTTCTTTGTCCCTCTTAAAGTAGCAATAAAGGCCACACACCCAGTTACTTCCCCGTCACAGGTAACACAGGGGCGTGGCAGCAGGAGGCTTTTGTTTCTATGGTAACTTACAAAGATGGAAAGCCTGGACTCCAGAAGCCAGCTCGGTTTTGCAGTGTGCCCTGGACCTTGGCTGTCGGGGAGGCTTTCTGCTGTTTACCTGGCTGAGTTTGCAGCGTTGCTGTTCACTGTCCCACAGTGACAAGATGGCGGAGATGGCGGAATATGGTTACCTGTCCATGCCTCGGCGCTGCGGCGGCAGCCACACCCTCACCTACCCCTACAGGCGCTACACACGGCTGCAGCAAATCGCCCAGTGTGTGCCGGTGCATCCCGAGGAGACTGCCATGCTGACAGTGATGAAGGTATCAGTGGCTGGGATGGCAGGGAGGGAGAGAGACCAGGAACACAGCTGGCCTGACTCTGCACTGGCCCACCCCTCGTGTGACCATTGACACCAGTGCAAAGCAGGTGTCAAACAATACCTGGTCACGACAGAAATGTACAGTGCTCTCGCTTTGCACTGGGCTCCGGGGATATGCAAGGCAAGGGAGAACCAGACCCAGAGGTTCCCCACCTGGAGTCTGCTGTGTGCTTGCTGGTGGTACCCAGAGAGCTGTCCAGGACATGGGGCTGGCCCCTCCACCTCGGTTCCAGCTGTTGGATCATAAGAAAATCAGTTTTATATTCCTAGCTACAATCCCAGGTCAGATGGCCCCAGAGCCAATCTGGATCTTGTATACAAGATGCTAATAATTTTGAGTCAATAAAATGTATCTGCTTTTTAAGCCTTGACTACACATGGGACGTGTTGCAAAGACGTCCCTTGGTTGCTAACACCACTTCAGCTCCATGGTAGCAGTAATGTTGAGCCATAGATGGGGCTGCTGCCAGAATTTTCAGTCCCAGGTCATCTTACCCTGCTCAGAGCAGGTCTAAAGGAAACATTACTTAAACCACAGCAACCCGGCTTTTGCTACCAGTGTTGCTAATCGCAGTGGAAAAGTCTCTGACTTGACCCAAACAGGCTGTTGTGGTTTCCACTGGGAAATTTAACTTTTGAATCATCTGGCAACATAAGGCTTTTTAGAAATCTTCCTTTAGCCAGTGCCCTGTGTGTATCTGCAGCTGTTGGACGAGAAACAGTGGTCAGGGCTGGTAAGGGTGAGTATTAGCCGGGCCTTTTTAATCACCAGCTCTTCCAGGAATAGGAGATGCAGGAAATGTTGTGGGAAGGAAACCCTTTGGGCCAGGTCTCAGCTTCATGAAAGCCTTTTTGTGTGTGTGTGTGCTGCCCTGGTACTGTCAGGGTGACCAGATGTCCCAATTTTATAGGGACAGTCCCGATTTTTGGGTCTTTTTCTTATATAGGCTCCTATTACCCCCCACCCTCGTCCTGATTTTTCACATTTGCAGTCTGGTCACCCTAGGTACTGTAAAGGGGCCTTACACAGGCTGGAAACACCCCCATAGAATTCCCTATGGGGAGCAGGAGGCCTTCTGGCTGGTGCAGAGCTGGTGTGAAGTTTCTACACTGACAAGAGGCTTGCCTGGGGTACACCACACTGTCTGCTCTTGGTTTCCTAGGGGCTGTGGGAAGTAGAAGTCAGAGGAGCTCTGAGGCTGCTCCAGTTTATACTGGGGACGAGGCAGACCCAGCAATAGCCCCAGAATAAGGGGAACATGAAGCCACATTATCCCCCAAATCCCAGCCCCAAGTACGGGACTGCAGTAGTTGAGAATCCAACTGTTTGTTCCTAACCAAGTACCTCCTGAATACAGAGGGGCTTGGAGTATCTGAACTTTCCAGAATCCCCAGTACCCAGAGACTCTGAGCACCAGAGCTTGTTTTCTAGCTTCTCTTGCAGTTTCTAAAGAAATTCCACCCTTCCCCACCCCAGTCTTGGATGCAGAATAACCCCCTACTGGCTTCCCCAGTGAGTCAGGGACAGCAGATGCTCCAGCTTCTGCCTCTCATTCCCAGCTCCACCTGCTCCTGACCAGGGAGGTCCCCAGAGGTCAGACTAGACAGTTAGGATGATCCCTTTGGCAAAGATGGCAGCACTGAGAGTGAAGCAGGAAGCAATACAGTGCCTCCCCTCTGCCCCCCATGAACCCTGCTTCCACATCTCCCCAGCTGCTCATTGATATGAACCTGCCTCCCAGATACGTCACCCCTCTGCAGTGCTTTTACCTCCAGTGCTTTGCACGAAGGCCGTTGCCGGGCCTGTTGTCATGGCTGGCCAAGTGGCTAGAACACTGGACTGGGACTCAGGAGAGCTGGGTTCTGTCCCGGGCTCAGGGTGTCCTTGGGCAAGTTATGTCACCTCTCTGTGCCTCAGTTTCCCTATCTGTTAAATGGGGGCAATGATCCTGTGGGGCGCTTTGAGATCTATTAATTGAAGAGTGCTATGTAAGAGCTCTAGGGGTGGTTGTTCTTATTGCTCCTACTGCTTTTCAGGAGACCTTTTCCATTGCAGGCCTGGCCACCCCGTAAAGTCCAAATTGGTCAGAGAAGTCTCAGTCCCTGCATCCCCTATTAATAGTGCGTGTACAAGCCCACAGTTAATTCCCTGTGGGGGTGGGGGCAGAGAAAGAAAGGCATGATTGGAAACACCCCAGACATGGGGTTGGCGCCTGTTGCAAAAGGGACACAAAGTCAGGGCGTTCCCAGGTGCCTACAGCCCCCCCCCCCCAAGGCCCTGCACGGTGTGCTGACATGCCCGGTTCCTGCACACTGCCATCAGTCAGAGCCGGCTCAGCCCTGGGAATGCGCATCGGAGCCTCCTCACACACGCTTCACCTCCCCTGGCCTGTCGCTGCCAGATCTGAGCAAACAGAGCAGTGTGATGGAGGGGGATGGGGTAACAGTGCAAGGTTGGGCTAGGAGGACATGGTAACAGCGATAGAGAATTGGGGTGGGGGGAAAGATGGACTATCCAGGACTCTCAAAGAGAAGGGGCTTGGAGGGGGAGGGAGGAATTAATGGGCGGAGTAGCGACCTGGGCCCTGCCTGCATTAAGGAAATTCCTACTATCTCAATGTGGTTACATAAGTTAGCGACGCTGCACTGATGCAAAGCTGGGCATGTACCCATGTAGCTTGAGCCCATCATTCAGTGATGTTCTTTACAGCGAGTGCAAAGCCCGCTCTGCATCGGTGCAGCACATCCACACTCGGGCTTGATACTACCTTGATTTATTGGCGCATGTGTGGATTTCCTTCCTGTGGACGGTGCCCTAGGTACAGAGGGGTCAGCGCAGGGCAGCATTCCTGAGCGATACTGATGTTTTCTAGTAAATACGTGAGAGCATTGCAGAAGGGAAAGAAGGTGACTGCAGGGTGTTGAACCTGTTCACTCTGCTGTGTGGGGGTCTGGAACAGGTATTCTTCTTTGCCTGAATGGAGGTTAGAAATGCTAATAACCCTCTGGGGTTGGAGCCAACTCCATTCTGTTTAGGTGCCTGTATTGTGCCCATCCCTAAAGATATTTGAGCATCTTCCAGTGTTAAGAATAAACCAAGTAGTATCTGTCATGAGACATTTCCCCTCCCTTCCGCCTGCCAAAGGGAAAGGTTTTGTTCCTGCGTCTTTACAATGAAATATTAACACCCCCTTTCCAATATGCCACATGTTGCTTTGTGGAGACAGCAAGATTGAAGCAGCAGATCTAGGATAACCTTCTCAAACATGCCTAGGTGAGTTAGCAGTGAGTTCGGAGCCTAAGGCCCCTGAAAATCAACATGATGTTGGCTCCTAAGTGGTTTAGGAACTCTTGAGTCCCCAGGTCTCAGTTTCAGCAGCGTAAATCCAGAATACCTCCATTAGCCTTTTCGGATCCAAGACCAGAATCTGGCCACCTGGGTGTAATTTCCTTTAATGTACATTTCAGACCCTGATGTCTCTGATGCCTGTTCACCTTTTGGTAGAATATTGTTTGCTCTTCTGTGGCCAGCTCCAGACACCAGCAAATCAAGCAGGTGCCGGGGGCAGCAAACGTAAAGGGGCGGCAGGAGGTTGGGCTCTGGGGCGGCAATCCAACCTCGGCGGCGACGGGAATTCGGCAGCCACTCCGTCACAGCGCAATTCGCGCTTGGTGGGAATTCGGCAGCAGGGACACGACTCTTCTTCAGTCGGAGGCCGCACCATCACTCCGCCTCTGTGTTCGGCAGGCAAGATGCCGCCTCCCTGTTCGGCGGCAAGTTGGTTTTTTTTGCTGCTTGGCGTGGCAAAAACGCTGGAGCGGGCCCTGGGCAGGACTCCTCTCAGAGAACAGATCAGGGTTTGTATGGAACTATGGAAACCACGGTCACCCTCTCTCTAATACCAGTGTCATGACTGTGAAGATCATGCGTACACAGAGCGTGGGACGGATATGTGTTGCCCCACTCTGGACGGTGACTACATACAAATAGCCCCTTCTTACTCAACACATCTGCCCCCAGGTGCATTGAGAGTCGGATCTGCTGACTTCAGTGTCTGAAACAGGTTGTGACTGCTGTTAGACCTGGAGAGCCAGCATAGCTCTGGGAGCAGGAGCTGGATTCTCTTTTGTCTCATCAGCACACCCGTTAACAAAGTTCTTTGACCAAGGATGGAAAAGAACCCAGCTTGACTCTCAGATCCCAAATGGAGTTTGGAGGGCAAGTGGTTAGAGAAGCTAGCGTTTTACTTGCAAACTGAGCAGATTGATCTGGAGCCACTGAGAAGCAATAGCTGGGGGCCCCAGCGATGCTGTTCTTACCAAGTCACTGGTCTGCGTTGAACCCCACCTTGAAATGACGTTTCAATGCAGGATGGTAGATAAACGACCACTGAGCCAATCTTTCCCTGGGCCAATGCCAGCCAGCTCGTTCCCAGGGGTTTTCACTCTTGTTTTCTGTAAAAAGCAAGACCTCTGTCCCCAAGTCAGACATTAACCACCGACGCCAACGCCAGTTCTGTCTTTGCGCTTCCTTCCTAGCATGAGGAGGTGGATATCCTGGGCCTGGATGGACACATCTACAAAGGGCGGATGGACACTCGGCTCCCATCAATTTCAGTCAAGGAAGGTAAGTCTCGGATGCCTGGTTTGTTTTCTTTGGGGAGCCTTTGTTCACGTCCTGCCTGTTTTTGATGGAATGCAACTGTTTCTTCATCATGCTGGCCGGAGCCGGAGGAATGTGGGATTGAGAGCAGAGAAGGGTGTTCCTTCTTTTGTCCATTCCTCCAAAATGGATCTGCTGTCCACGTAGCACCCCGAAAAGGGCCACTGTATGATGGGAGGCCTTTGTCTGTCTATATTAGGTAATTATATTGGCCCCCAGCACCTCGGTATCCGAGCAGCTCACAATCTTTAATGTATTTCTGTCCTCAACCAGGCTATGAGGCAGGGCCGTGTTGTTATCCCCATTATACAGAGGGGAACTCAGGCACACAGAGTGACTTGCCCAAGGTCACACAGGAAGTCTGTGGCAGGGTTTGTCCCAAGTCCCAGGCTAGCACCTGAACCACAGGATCGTCCTTCATCTTGATTCCTTGGGTGGAATTTGCTGCTCACATGATCTCCGGCCCTCTCCTCAACCCCTGTAAATACGGTATCCTTAAAACAACAGCGTGGGAAGTGGTAGGTATGATCTCCCTCGGAGCCTGCTTCAGCACTCTGCTGGTCTCTGACCTATCCGTTGGGTAGTTCCCATCCTGGGTCCAATGGGGGCGTGGAAGCTGTACCCGGTGCCCTTTGTCTAGAGTGCAAGGTAGCTCTGTGCCTGCTAACTGGCAGGCAGTAGGGATTGTCATGAGGGATACAGTGGAGACTCAGTCCCCACCAATGTTCTGGGATACCCCATTGAAGAGGGCAAGAGTGGCTGCCTAGGGAGCACCGCTGAGTACCCAGAATGCTTGCCATGGTGCATTAACCCTTTCTGTTCCTCTAGCCCATGAATGAAATGTTGCCCCCTCCACACAAACACAGCGCACCAAGGCTAGAGGCAAGATGTGAAGAATGTGCCCCTACTGCCCCCTGTTGGCTGCCCTGGGAATGGCTCCCAAATTCTTCAGAGATCGGCCAAACTTCAGCCTATGCAAGAATGCATAGGGCAGTGGTGTCCTGCCACTGAGTAAGGGGGAGCAGCCAATAGGACAGCGGGAGGGGAGGGGTCAGAGAGCAGCCAATGGGGCTCATGGGGTGCTGGGGATCCCCCCAGTAGCCAAGGCACCGCACCAGAGCATGTGACTGAGCCAATCAAAAATAGGAGATAACTGGGTCAACAGTCAAGCGCTCCCCGTCTGGCGCTTGTGTGCATCATTCCTCTCTTGGAATCACTGCCAGGTGACAGCAGCAGCTTGAATGAACTTGTCCTTCCCTTTCAGTCCTGGTAGCTCATCTGTTCTCCTGGTAGACTTTGCCAGTTACATAACAACGTGCCCAAGGTGGGTGGCGGTTTTGGCAGGGCAGAGCAGTGTGTGCATGTTCAGATCTGCATGCTAATCCCCAGGAATAAGGAGAGTACCCAAGGGGCTTAGCAAATGCATCAGGTCAAACCTTTCCCCAAGGAAATGAAGGGGCAAGAACTCTGGGGTCTTTTCCTATTTCTGCTACAGGCTGGGGAAATTGCACGCTCGCTGCCTCAGTTTCCTCATTTGTAAAATGGGGATAATAAAGCTTCCTAGTGGGGTGGAGGCAGGGGGATTGTCTGAGGCTTGGCTCATTAATGTATGTGAAGAGCTTTGAGATCCTGGGTTAGAGGACACTGTAACAGCGCCAGGCAGTATTGCAGCACTGATTCCATGTGAGCAGGGGATGCAGCCCCCTCTCAACTAGCTGCTCCCTAGCACTGAGTGCTGATAAACTCCCCACGAGGCATTGTGTTATTTCTCCTGTACGCTTTTCTGCAAGGTGCACTGTACTTGGTGAAATACACTGTGATCTGCTATTTTCCACTCATCCCAGCTTTCTGTTCTCTGGGTGGCTTCCCACTGTGTGGCCCCACGCAATGGGGTCCCACAGAGACTCCACCATGAAAGGTCCTTACACAGTAGATTCTCAGGTCACTGACTTGAATGGAGGTCCACCAGGTCTAGGAGTTTCCATCAGGGATGTATGTAGCCTAGAATGTCTAAAGCTAACACCCATCTCAGATCTGTGCAGCTCTCTCATGGGCAATCCTCTGCGGTAGCTGAGCCACCATTACCTTGTGGCTCCAGGAACTGTTGAAACCCCCCACTTACACATATGCTTCCCATCAGGTCCTTTGAAGACCAAACCCAAGCTCTCCCGGTCTTCATCACAACGGCAGTCGACCCTGATGGACACAGCCGGCCTCCCAGCACGCCCACAGAGCGCCAAACTGTCTTCCCCCAGCAATTCAGGTACCTCACTTGGGTTTAGATGGGAGCTGGAACCCCCTGAGAATTTACTCTCTGATGAGCATGTGCTACTGAGAGGCTCCTAGAGGAATCCCCTGTCTCGTTCCCTCTGTTCCTAGCAGAGACTCCCCCCACCTGGAGCTGGGGTAGGTTATGCCAGGCTCTGTGTAGGCGCTGTGGTGAGGAGGGTTCAAGGAGGCTTCTCTCCCGCGCCCCCAAGGGACAAGACACACCAGTCTGCCTCTGGAGTCCCCACTAACCACGGTTAGCTTTGGAGTATTTGTGCCCAGCTGCTGCAGAGGCAGCCAGCAGAGGGGGCATGAGGTAAAGAACAAACCCACTTCCCATCACAGGGCTGAGGCTGTTTGCCAGAACATCAGCGATGACAAAAGCCAACCAGGAAATAAAAGCACCCCTGGGACACCGACAGGCTCTGTAAACAAATAGGGGGTGCGGGGGGGGGGAGAATCACTGGGGCCCTTGCTCCCACCATGGGGAAAACCCACGGAGGGACAAGGAACAGTCACATGCGAAGCTTCCCCCTCTGCCGTTCCATCAGGGATGTGGCTGGGTTGCCCAGCCCCATGCAGGTGTTCCAGCCCACCCACCTGAGATCTGCAGGTGGGAACCTCCCCAGCGCCCTGTGCTGCTCCTCATCCTCCCGAGTCCCCGAGGCAGTTGCTCCAACACCCCACCCAGTGGGGATGCTTGCTGCGTAGAAGGGGAGACGCTGCTGGTTCAATCCACTCCGACTGGAGGGGAAGCTGCTCTCTGGTCCATCCACCCTGAAAAGGGCCACATATGGAAGCTAGAGAGATGGGCCGTGGGGGAATGCAGCAGCGCTCCCCACCCCAGATGCAGGGCCTTTCCTGCCGACCCCTCAGTGCCACATGGCCGAGGGCAGCCTGCAGCCCAAAGCAAGAAGGAAAGACGTGTTCTTGATTCCAAGCTTCTTACTGGTGCTGGGGACCAACATTGCAGACTCTTCTAAACTAGCATTCAGTGGCGTCCTTTATAAAAACGCCCTGATGATGGATGGATTTGGGGTCTCTTGGCAGTCCCTGTGTCAGCCCATCCATCTGTTCATTTTGGTAAGGGTGAGCTGCGTGATGCTGCAGAATCATGTGATCTGAGCCGTGATTTAAAACACAATCGGCTAGAACAACTGTAGTAGAATCTGGACTGAGTGAAGAGCATGCCGGGAAAGCGCAGAATCTCTCAGCACAGCTGACAGCAATATTCCCCTCCCACCATTAAAACAGAGGCACATAGCATTTGACAACATACATGCCTTCAGCAGGAAGAACACGTGTTTAGCTTGGTAGAATTGGGTACGGAAAGAAAGAAGGCAAAAAAGTTTGATTGGGCAAATGGATTGAAAGCAGCAAGGATGGAGGAAAAGATCCATCAATAGATGTGTGAAATAACAGATTGCATTGGGGTGAACTTCACTCAGAGGGACAAATTCTCTGCTTCACTGAAGCCCCACACTTAATTTGCACTTCAGCGGGGTCTCAATAAACAAACATGGAGTGGATGTCAAGAGCAGGCTTAGGATGTGATGGAAAGTAGGGGAGATGGATGAATTTGTAGAAGAGCATGTCGATGAATGGGTGGACAGAGGCATAACAACTGATAGTTGAAGGATAGAAGCAAGGTAGGCGAATGGAGGGTGGCTGGATGTAAGAATGGATGGAAAAGCGGCTGGATGGGAAAGGATCAGGAAGTGAGGGACGGGGAAAGCAGGCTGGATGGGTGATGAGTGCAGAAACAGAGACATGCCCAGGATGCACGGAGAATCAGACAGCTGGATAATCCGTCAGTTAAATCGTCTGCAATGTTTCCCTGTAGGTACAGCTAGGTCGCTAAAGGACAGGCCCGTGTCATCGGAGGGTCGACTGTCCCGGGTGGACCTGACCCATCTATCAACCTCAATATCTCCCCCTGGGGAGGCAAGAGAGGATTCTCCCATGCAGGAGAAAGAAACGCTAGAGCTTCACCTGGACCTTTCCATGCGCCGGCGATCGGCTGAGCAGTTACAGTGACTGCAATGGCAGGAAAGCAGCGCTCGCTGACGGAAGCCAGGCAATAAAGAGTGAGCAGAACAGAGAGGAGGCTGTGTACATGTGTCGCGGCGATAGGAACAGGGAGCTTTTTGTGAGGTGCCTGCGGCAAACAGGACCCAGGGCTGTTCCACGCAGCAGCACTGTTAAAAGGAGGAGGTGGGCAGCACGTTCATTCAGGAAAACGGTTCATCCCTGGCCTTTGCAAATCCTCCCCTCGCTGCTGCTAGCTTTGCCTGAGTAGATTTTGCAAATACCAGATCTTCTGCATAAGCCAGTTTGACACTGGCTCATTTCAGCCCCGGGGATCTTGTACTGTCCTTCGTATCACAGAGCCCGACGCACCTCATGTGCATGAAGGGGGATCTTTGAAACCGGACTATGGTTGACTTGTTTGAGTGAAAAGCACCAGGGCAGAATGCAGCCCAAAGTTCTCCCTCCACGGCCAACTGTCCTCCTCGGTGGAGAGCTGTGGCTTGCCACGGGCCCTAAGTAGCTACTTGGAACGCTGCATGCTGGGATCTGTAGTCTTCATAAGCTGCACCTTAGTACTGAAGAGGAGGGTAGGTTACAGTCTGCTCTATTCTGTACACCTTGGCGGTGGCCCTTGGGGAGCCCCCTAGCAAACAACTAGTGCGGCCCTCATGCAGGAAAAGCCTGAACTCCGTATCAAGTAAGGACTGGTCCCTCTAGAAGTCAAATCAGGGTTTGTGGGGCAGGCAGGGAGGGGATTGTGCACCAGGTAGCTGCCTCCCCTCTGCCCTTTCCCAACCCCTTCCCACCGTGCTTGATCCAGCGTGGGCTTCTTGCAGCTGTGCTCAGACTGGAGTTGGCAAGAGAGGTTTCTAAGCAAGGGGCTACGTGCTTTGTCTTTCCTACAGCAGGGCAGTGCCTGTGCTCCAGGAGTCATTAGAAAAGAATCTGGTGCTCTGTCATTTCCTCATCTGGTGCACACAAAGGCCTCTCCGATCAGAACTGCTCTTTCCCCCACGCAGGTCTTTGCTTCCCAGAGCGCCTGGCCCTCAGACTGGGGGACAAGGTGAAGGGCGCCCACCCCAGCTAATGTAATCTAAACTTCCCAGCCCTTTGTTTTCTTTTGTCAGTGAGGAGGAAGGGAGGGAGGGAGGGAGGTGATAGTGCTGAGTGATTTGAGGAGGACGGGTGGCCTGTGGATAAGGCACAAGACTGAATGTCAAAGCCAGGTTCAATTCTTTGCTCTGCCACTGACTCACTGTGTGACCTTGGGTGGACCCCTCCGCTCTTGTATGCCTTCATTTCCACCATCTGTAAAAGTCCCTGTTGTGAGGTCTACTTCATCCATGCATGAAGCCCTTTGAGATCCCTTGATCTGTGGAGCTGTACAAATGCAAGGGAATACTATGAAGGGTTACAAATAATTCCAAAGCTGGGGAGACAGATGTCTAGAAAACAGACAGGAAAACCCCACCTTTTAATCCTCCTGGCTTGCATCTAGGTTCTTGCACTATTGTCCCCATTCCTTGATTCAGTCGCATGCACTTTTTGCCTGCTGCATTTAACCTAGCTGCCTGCTTTTCATTTTCATCCTCTCCATGGCTCTGGTGCTGGTTTGATCCTCATTTGGAGCTAGCGTTGTGAGAGAGAGAGGACTCTTATTCCACTTGCTTTAATGCTGCCTCAGAGTGCCTTGGACTCCCCTAGCACAACAAGACAAACCAAAGTCCAGACGGCGGGTAGCGTTTCGTAGTCAAGGAAGGGCTGAGCAGTAAAGATGCCACGATGCAGCTTGATTTCAATTCTCTGCTCACTCACACCTTTTGTGTGTCTAGCAAAGCCAGAAGGCTTTCACTGGGGTGAGGGACAGCAGGTTTCAGCAGGCTGTGTTTAGAGAACTGTCAGTGTAACCAATACTAGACAGGTCACATGGCACAATTATTGTGTAAGTCCTCCTAACTGGGTTAGTAATTACATAGGCTTTGATTAATGCCCCGTAGCTACTTCCTTGCATGCTCCCAACATTGTTTTGTCGTTACACTTGGCCGATGGCATCTGTGGTGTGATGTAGATATCAGAAATCATCACACGCTTGCAATGTAACATGACCCATTGCCTGCCACCAACCCTGCAAATAACCAAGACACACTCCCAGTGAATACATGGCACATGCTCTAATGCCACTTGCCCTGTTACTCAATGGCCATCCCCTGGCACTTGTCGTATGAACATCCTGCCACTACCTGTTCTGTCGTAGTTGTTAACCTGTAAATATCCTGCTGCTGCAGTGTTTACCCCTGTGATGATGGTGGACGCTTCTCACGAGGAGGGACAGTTCAGGACCATTGTCCCTGCATTCTGAAAGCTCCTGCCAGTGCACAACGAAAGCAACAATGTTTCTGTGAGGGGAAAACTTGAATGAAGTTTATAGTATGGGCTGGCTCCAGCTCCCATTACAGTCAATGGCAAAACCCCCTTTGACTTGGATGGGAACCAGGCTGGGCGCTGAATGATTTAATGTGAAGGATGTGACGGTGTGGAGCGGAGACCAGCTGGGAGAGGAGGGACCAGCAAGAGTGCCTTCGCAGGGGAAGATTCACCCCTGTGCAGAGGGCCTGGACACAGCCTATGCACCTCTTACAGGTAGGTCCCGTGGGAGCTCTATTTTGAGGGTATCTGTGGGGCTCAAGTGGTGCCTAGGCCCGGGTCTCTCATGCCAAGTGGATTAAACTTGGGCAAGCTTTGGCCCCACATATTCGACACACCCACTGCATGTGAACACGGTATGTGACGTGCTTCGTGTAGGGCTCCAGTGTGCGACAGTACAGTGTAGACATGCTGTCTGTTCTGTGTGGTTGACCCAGAGCCATGCCAGGGTTGAATCTGTCCGTAGTGGGCCGAGTTTTTGCCTTTCATTAATACCCCATGCTGGACACCTGCTGGGCTTGCTGGCAGCACATGGACGCTGCCTGGCGGCTGGCGACAAGCATATGCCATGCTCTGTAGGCAGGCGGCACACGTGTGCTGCACTCACGAGCCGTATACTGCACGCCGGCCACACGTGCTGCATGGTGGGTGGCTACAAATGCTGCACGCTGCACTTACAGGCCATGGACTGCCCAAGGCCTGCTGGCAGCACCGGTGCGGCTGGCTCTGCGTGCTGCATGCTGGTTTCCTGCAGTCACATGGAGATGACCGCATCCTGCACGGTGCTGACATTTAAAGTTAAATTAACCATAGAGAATGATACACCCCTCAGTCCTGTGTTCTCCGTGTATACCCTCCCCCCCATGCCGAGGCCCGGTAACAACGGGGTGTTCCACAGGGAATGTTGGAGGAGGAATTCTTTACAGCCTCTTCTGCTCCAGCACCCTGGTGGATCTCTGGAGAGCAGGGGCCACCCTTACCGTCCTCCCTTGGCCTGCTCCTGCCCCTGTCCCCAGGCCTCACTGTGCATGCTGTCTTCACAAGCTCCCCAAGCCCTGTCTCTCCCCTCCGCTGCATCTGGGGCTCTCCATGCCTGCTGCGGAAGGGGCAGGATGTACTCTGGAGAGAATGCCAGTGCTAGGTCCATCGAGTCCCAGCTGTGCCCAGCTGGTGCCATGGCTGCCTACTGCACGTTCTGCACGGGCTGCGCTTGCCGACGTGGGCGAGAGAGTCGGAGAGCAGATCCGCAGCATAGCTGTTATGGGCGGCTGGGATCCGACAGCACCAGTTTGGCCCAAGCTTGAAAAGCGGCAAACAGCTCGTTGCATCCCAGGTGCGGGAACCCACCTGCTGTGCTGCCCCTCCCCACTGACTGTAGAGCCACTGAACGTGGGCTCTGGCCTTTGGAAACCAGCAACTTTGGACGTACTGAAGCAGGCTATTAAAATATTCCCTCCCACCTCCGTTGTATCGTTCCCCAGGACGAGGGAGAACCTTTTGAAACAGACCAGTTTTAAGCAATGTTTGCCTGATCCGCCTTTCCCGGGCTTGTCAAAGGAATGATCGTGACTTCTTAGACATTATTAACCACATCAGAAGAGGTGGGTTTATTTACTTAAATAACATTGTATGGGCCCTAACTAGTCATTGCCGTGAGCTGTGCCTGCTTCTGCCAATGGGAAATTGCTCCATATGTTTGTTCAAAACAACTTAGGATCGTTTTATTGTCCTTGGAGTGAAGGGGGAGGATGTGAACACTTCTGATGTGATGTGCTGCTCAAGCGGGTGTGTTCTAATTCACTCGGAACTGTACAGCTCCCCCGTTAATTCACTCATTCACACTTCTCGCTGTGTCCCTGCCTCTGAGATGCAAATTTCTCATCTGAAAGAGAATGCAACATGTACAGGCTGCACTCACAGTTTCCACTATGCGCTTCTTGTCTTGGCTGCTTCCAGTGACGGGATTAAGCATTTTAGCCAATGTGAGTAGTCGCTTAGCGCTTGTCTACACTATGGATGCTAGAGTGGCAAAGTGTCATAGTGTAGACACTTGCTTCATCAACAGAAGGGGTTCTTCCATCTGTAGTTAACCCACCCCCACCAACAGGCACTAGGTTGGTCAATGCTATGATGGGTTGTGTCACAGAAATCCCCTTGGGACAGCCACCTGATGTGTTGAGACTACCTCTGAGCCTATTTTCCCTGCCAGCTTGGGACTTCAGTACCCTGTCTTGTTGAGCCAGACACGCCAGCCTGCTGCAAACACAGACCCAGATCTGAACCACGTCCCCAAAAGCTGCAGGCTTAACTGAAAACAGCTTAAGAAGTGCTTCTGTCTCCAGCACCTAGATACCTAGTTCCCAATGGGGTCCAAACCCCAAATAAATCCATTTTACCCTGTACAAAGCTTATACAGGGTAAACTCATAGATTGTTTGCCCTCTATAACACTGATAGAGAGATATGCACAGTTGTTTGCTCCCCCAAGTATTAATACTTGCTCTGGGTTAATTAATAAGCAAAACGTGATTTTATTAAATATAAAAAGCAGGGTTTAAGTGGTTCCAAGTAATAACAGACAGAACAAAGTAAATTACCAAGCAAAATAAAACAAAAACACGCAAGTCTATGCCTCATACAGTAGG